CTTGCACGTGTTCGCTCCATGCATGAGCTGACGAGTCCCGCGAAGGGTCTTGCTGTGAGCGCCTCCGGCTCTTTGGGCCTGCGCTGCTCCAAACCTGAGAGCCCTTCTACGTGGAGAGTGGTTGGCCTTACGGCTGACTCCTGTAGTGATGACCTTGCCGCCTTTCTCACCAAGATGGGTTGGACACGTGTCGAGGTCATGTCGTGCTTCCATCGTAAGGGCATGGTCGCTTGGCAGGTCCGTGCCTTGCCTCCCCCGGAGGAGGTTGTCCCTTGGAAGTATCAAATGGGAAGCGAAGATTGCTCATGTGTAACGGTGGATACTTGGGTTGCACATGGTAAGAAGCAGCGTGCTTACACCCCCGGTCGGTAAGAAAGCTCTCCGCTTTCAGGCTCCTGGGCAAAGTGTTGCCGTGGGCTAGCTACATGAGTTCCGAGATTGACCCCGAATCTCTCGAAGCAGTGATCCTGAGGTCTTACACCGAGCAGCTGAGCTTGCTGATCGTCGTCATGGAAGGCTGGCGGTTCCTTTACATTGCCTTCCTCTTCTTTTACTTGCATCGTGGCAGTGGTGTCTGCTGTCAAATTAAACTACAACATGATGGTTGCGGTGACCTACATCGCTGGAGTATGTGCGGGCCACTTTGGGGGGCCAGTACAATGTTCTCTGGAGCTGCTTGCCTTCCACAAGGACTGAGATGCTACTGATTGGGTTGTTCTTTGCTAGTTGTAGTGCTAGCTTGCTGTGCGGGGACAGGACCCAAGCACCTGGAAGAGTGATCAAGAAAACGAATAGGGCTAGGGCTAGGCTAGGGGTAAGCCTTGGGATAGCCCCTATTGCTAATACGACTATTACTACTGTTATTACTATTCCAAGTATTGCTACTATTACTCTTGACATTGATACGATTACTATTGTGGCTATGACTGTGAATGCTGCTACCATTATTACTACTACTATTATTACCGCTACTATTACTAAAATTAATATCACAATACTATTACTACGGTTACTAGTGCTACGTACCATGACTAGTATTAGTATTACACGCGTTACTTCTAGGACTTAATAGTATTGTTACCACTAAGACTAATACTATCGCCCCCAACCCCCCCGCTTTTTACGCCGTCCAAGCTTGCTTCAAAGCCTGGGGGTGTTTTTGAATCCCATGATTTTGTAAGCCTTGCAAACCCGCTTCAAGATGAAGGAGTTTTTGACGGCCATCATGCAATCTTCGTGTTGCGGGGTGTGTTGTGCAAGGTTGGAAGTAAGTGGATCTTGTTGAAACCCATCGTGGGAGCATTGCGTTTCGGGGGGCGCAGCCCCAATCCCCCCCCGCTTTTAAGCCGTCCAGGCTTGCTACAAAGCTTGGGAGTGTTTTTGAATGTTATCATCTTGTCAGCCTTGCAATCTTCCAAATGGATACGTTTCCTTTTTTCGAACCCATCACGCAATCTTCTTGTTTCGGGGTGTGTTGTACAAAGTTGCGAGCATATGGTTCTTGCTGAAACCCATCATGTGACAAAAGGGGGTGTTTAAGACATATGCAGAACCGCAATTGCCAAGTGAGTGGGCGTGTTGAAGATGTCGTATGTATATATATATATATATATATATATATATTTATTTATTTATATGATGAACCGGAATATGATGGACCAGATTCGCTTATGAAGGGGATGTGTTTGAGTTATAAGACTAAGGTGTACAATGAACCGGAACCGCGAAATGAGGGAGTGTGTTGCACACAATGGGGAGCCAGAATCGCCACGCGCTGCTCCTGCTCCCAACTCCCGCGCTTGCTGGAGCCGTGCAGGGCTGCGCCCCTCTTGAAGCCATGCACGGTCGCAAGCAGTTGGTTCTTGTAAAACCCGTCGTGGGAGCATTGCGTTTGCAAATGGAGGGGGCTGCGCCCACCACGAGCTGATGCGGTTTCCACAAGGGCCACACTGGTCCCACAAACGTACAAACAGGCTTTCCTTAGCCAGCACTTCAGCAGCAGTTTGTGCACGCACAGCAAAGTGGTGCGTTGGCCTATTCTTAAGCTTCTTAAGGACATGCAGCGACGCCGCATTTCGTCAAACAACAACCCCCCTCCGGTTCGTGTTCATCGCCCCCAATTAAACAACTTCTTCGAACAACAACCCCCCCGCTGCTGTTGTTGTTCCCCTCCCACCCCCCGTTCACACCCGTTGTTGTTGTTCCCTTCCTATTTCTGCGAAACACCCCCCCCCCCCCCCCCGCCCCTGTTCTTGTTCTTCCTCCGCGCAACAACCCCCCCTCCCCCCCCCGGTTCTTCTTCTCCCCCCCTTCCCCCGAACAACGACCCCCCGCCGGGTTCTTCTTCTCCCCCCCCGCGCCCCACGGTCTTTCACGGGGTGGGAGGGGTTGTTTGGCTCTTCCCCAAAACTACGAACAACAACCCCCCCCCACCCCTCCCTACCGAAGGGGTCTCTGATGACCAGAACCCCAAAGCCAGGTGACCGACTTGTTTGTGTTGCATGATTCAATCGCTCCTGTTCTGATTGTTTTGTCTTTCAATTTTCGCACCAACACCTGCAAAATTGCTTCGTTACTACATATGAAGATGCAGATATATGCGCCTTGTTGTATACTTATGTATATGTATATATACATATATATATATATATATATATATATTTTATTCATACCCACATGTTGATAGCATGCATGCAGTTTGGTTCTTTGTTGCACACCGTCTGAGCGAAGAGCTCCGGGGTAACAGATGGCAAATCATCACCCGCAAAGATATGGCTTGTGCGCAAAGTGAAGTCGGTATAAACATCTTTGCAACCACTTGTCTCCTCCGTGGAAGCATGAAAAGGGTGGACACTGATTGTTTGGTTCCCAACTGGTTGACGTCTGTGGCTACATGCAGGCATGCATGGATGTATGTGCGCATGTGCGTATGCATATATATATATATATATGTGCCTCGACATATTCGTGTTATTTCTTCGATGTTCCATTTGTTTATTTGCGCCTTTTCTGTTCATAATTCCTATATGTCATTCGTTTTTATTGGCTGGCATGGATTATAGATTAGCATACTCATGCCATGGCCCTGGATGAAGGGTTGCTCGAGGCCATGGGACCGCATCTGCGCCGCGAGCTGGACAAGGGACTGCACGGAGGCGCTTTGTTGTTTGAAGTCCGCTGGCCTTTGGCGTGTCAGGTTTGGAGAGCTACAAGTGTTGTTACGGGGGTGTTCTGGCATTTTCTGTGCGTTTCGTGAAGGCATTTATGTTGTGCCCGGGCTTTGTCTTCTTCACAATGACATGAATGACAAGCGTATTCTGTTTCACTCACACAATGTGAATACAAGTATCATCTTCACTATCATGTTTTGCATATGTTGTCGGAGTTTTGTGGTTCCTGCTTACGATATGACAGAGCGTGTCACGTCTACAGTACTAATTTGTGGGGAAGTGCAAGCTTTTGAGATATGTAGCCCTAGGCATCTGGAGGGGGGTGGCTCGGGGTGTTCGATGGGGGCTTTGACGTTCCTCTAGAAATTGAATGAGCTGTGCCGAACCGGGGCAGCGGCAGTCTGTAATATAGGGGCCTTATAATAAGTACCAAGACCATTTTGGGGGTTCTTGATTATCACTATAGTATAGTATACCCCAAAACCCTGTTCTAATTATTAAGGCTCTGGTATTCAGCAATTTCCATCGGGTGCGGGGTTCGCCTGGCAGGAGGTGAGGAAACAACAGCTTCGAGTTGAGTGCTCAGGCAGACGCCGGGACAAAGTCTCCCGAAACGGCCGCGAAGAATTCGCTGGCTTCCATGTATGATAGTCTTTTCGATCCGCAGACGGACAGGCCTGAAGCCGATGGTGGCCGAACAGAGGATATCCAGCCAAAGCACGCTGTGCCGGGAGCTTCCAGGCACAATCTGGTTCATCGCAAGGCAATGCTCCAAAGGTCCCTGAAAAGCCACAGCCACACCCCACAGTTACCAGCGCTGCAGAGATGAACCGCACCGCTTCGCGAGCCCTGACATCGTGGTGCCAAGGCTGGTTGTGCCTTCGCAAAATGCGAAGAGCCCTCCCGGGAAGAATCACCCGATCGCTTAATGGAGACGAGAAAAGCAGTCATGCTGATGCAGAAGACGCCTGAATCGCCATTGTCCTGTTCGTAGTGGGGGCAGGTAGAGTTTGGAGCTTGGGTGTTGGTGTGGTATCAAGCGGTGGTAGTACTCGCAACAAATACCCTTCCCAAGACTGGTGCGAAAGCAGAGACACTTCCGCAAGAAGAAGACCAAGGCATGGCTTTTGATCAGGAAATTCAGCGAAGAGTGCCAGCACTTGTCCGAGGTTGCAGCGAAAGCGGCTGCATGCCCAATGAACAACACAACTTGCAGCTGCACTGTATCCCCGTTAAGGAAATGAGCGGCACATCGCGCGAACAAAGCGTGTGGGTTCAACGGAAGTGTTGCTCGCACATATGAAGGGACTCGAGTCATACGTGTGTCATACGTCATGCGTTCCCAAACCTTGCCAACGCAATAGTCCTTTGCGGACGAGAGCAGACCTCATGAGGCTCAGGTCGCAAAGATCAGGGTTTAGGGTTTAGAGTTTAGGGTTGGTAATAAGTGGGGTTATAAGTCCCCCAATATGGGTTATAGCTATAATTAGTTACCTTATACATATATCCACGATGCATAAGATGCCAAGCCGGCTACACAGTACCGTGTAACAGCGCAAGCGAGCCCGACAGGGCTGTTTGTCAGGAGCGACGCGCGGGCATGTAGCAGTTTCCTGGAGAAGTTTTTTTTAGATAGACAGTAGCGAAGCTAAAGCATCGAGCATCACGCAACACCTGGCAACGAGTTGAGCGCAAATCTTTCCATTTCTCGTCGAAGCTTGAACTGCTTCGAAAGGGACAGCCCAACAAACGCGCGGCATCCTTGGCTCGAGGTCCTTTCGCAGTAGCCTTAGTTCTCGCTTCGTTCAGAACGACCCCAACCTCTCTATCATGGCGGAGGCCGAGGCTGTGTACCGCTACGAGTCCGGAAACATCGCACATGCACCCAAGAAGGATTACGGGCCTTTAGACTTCACTGGCAAGCTTGGTGGGGGCTTGCGACTCGATATCCGCAGGCGAGCGCCGCTGTATTGCAGTGATTGGACGGATGCCTTCAAACCGGAGAACTTCCAGAAATCGGTATCGTCCATCTTGTATCTGTTCCTTCGTCTTGCAATATGCAAACCTTTGTCTGAAGCGAGTGAAATCTTCTAGAGTGCCGCTAATCTGGAAGTGTACTGTAGCATTTCTTTTTGGATATTGGCCAGTCGTGGCAGTAAGGTTCATCGCAGCCCTTGCCCCTGCGATTACGTTCGGCAGTCGGTTCCTTGACGGCACGAACGGCCAGTTCGGAGTGATGGAAATGATTATGAGCACATGTATCAGCGGCTTGATCTTCTCAACATTTTCCGGTCAACCCCTTTCCATTTTGGGGGCTACCGGTCCGTTCTTGGCTTATACGCTTGTCGTCTATGACTTGGCAGTTGCCGTGGACGTGGAGTTCATGCCGTTTTATTTCTGGACATGCATGTGGTGCTCCCTCTTCACCGTGCTGGTTGCGGTCTTCGACTTGTGCGCGCTCATGAAGCACGTGACTATGTTCAGCGAAGACATCTTCGCAGGATTCTAGCCTGTGCAGTGATGCAGGTTTGTTTTTGATATTCTGGGTTCTGATTACAATATAACAAACCAGGATTAATCTCGCTGATCTTCATCATCGACGGAGCCCGGCCAATCATCGAGAATTTCACGGAAAGCAGGCTGACGCTGACGAACTGCATGTTTGAAGCCCTCTTGTTCATCTGGACATTTGGTTTGGCAACATACTTGTCCAGCTTCCGCCGAAGCCCCTGGACTTTCCGATTCGTTCGCAACTTTGCGGCCAATTTCGCAGTGACCATCGCCTTGGTGAGTGGCTCCGCTTTGGCTGCTATTTACTCCAACGACACAGGCCTGAGGATGTTGCAGGTGGACGCAGACTTCTCGCCCAACTTGAGCTTGTCCGATGGCAGCAAGCGGCCGTGGATCATTAATCCCGCCGGCATGGACCGCCCCTTCCCCGCTTGGGGCATTGCTTATGCGATCCTTCCGGCGGCTTGATAAGAGGACATGCTTCTGGTCTCTTGTTGATTGAGGCTACAAGGTTGTAGGCGAACATATTCGCAGCTAGCGTCATCTCAAGCAACTAGCTTCACCTCGAGCGCAACCGAGGCGATTGGCTTCGCAGTGTTAGGTTACTTGGATCAGAATCTCACCAGTGTGATCGTGAACAGACCCTCCAACGGTCTGAAGAAGCCGGCAGCGTACCACCTGGACTTGCGGCTAAGAGAGAAGTTAGAGTCCCTTTTGCCCTTTTAGGCCTGGGGTTGCCTAGTATCTTGGTAAGAGGTCCACAAAAAGGATCCTCTTGTGTTTTCCTCCTTAAGAGGGGCTCAGGTTTGTTCGGGGAGCGCTCACGCTGCCTGTCTGTGCTGTGCTGGGCCTGCCGCTGTCCGTGGCCTCCACGGTGCCGAGCATCACTCACGTAATCTCGCTGACCACTTACGAAGTGAAGCAGCTTCCGGAAGGTGAGCGCAAGGTGCCTACGAAGGTGGTGGAACAGCGTGCTACCAACTTCTTGAACCTTAGTAGCTGAGTGAGTACGCTTTACACCTATATTATCCTCTATCTGTCTAACTGAAATTTACACTTGTTGGGCTTAGGAACTATGAACTCAGCAACTAAGGATTCACGTGCTCATTGGCTCAGCACTCTTCCTGGCACCAGTGCTGAAGTTCCTGCCCCGGGCCGTGCTGCAGGGCGTGTTCTTCTACATGGGAATCGCGAGCCTGACCGGCAACAACCTCTTCGACCGTTTGAAGCTGTGGCTCATCTGGGACCCGGCGAAGTACCCGCAGTACCACTACATCCAGAAGCTGCCCATCAGCCGAGTGCACCTGTACACCGTCGTCCAGGTCATCTGTCTTGGCATTCTGTATGGATTGAAAGCTATCAAGGAAACGTCGGTGGTGTTCCCGTTCTTCATGGCCTCCCTGGCCATCATCCGCAAGGCCATGAGGTTCATGTTCACCGAGGATGAGCTGAAGCAGCTGGATGGCATCCCAGGTGAGGATGAGGAAGAGGATGCCACGATGTCGAAGCCGGACATTGTGAACTTGGACGTGAAAGAGGCCGCCTAGGAGAACAAGGATGTTCAACTAGCGTAGATAGGGAGGCTGCTCAGCCGGACCGCTTTGCACAATTCAATCAGTTTTGGTTCCTCGGGACTCGTCAGCGAAGCTCTTCTTGGGAGGCCTTTCCTGGCAAACCTGTTCCAGCACGGCTGGCAAGACCCTGTGGGTCGGGAACTGAATGAATCAGTTATGAATCAGGAAATAGCCCTTGGGTCATCAGCTTCCGTGCTTGACGTTTTGTGTCCAAATAAATCCTGTGGCCCATTTGCGGCCAAGCAACGCCAATTACGTGCTGAAGGAGGTCGAACGCCGAAGGCGAGCGAACCTCCGGCACGAGTTCTGTGTACAAGCATTGCGTTGCTAAACCAGCTCACTCTACATTACGTGCGAAAATGGGCAGTAGTCTTCTGGGAAATCACTTGCCAGTGGATCGCCTGACTGATATGTTGTCCTTCCCACTTGGTTTCTTTAAGTCTTGGAGATTGTTCTGGCCGCATCTCGAGGGAAAACCCAATGCGTCCTTGGCTCGAGGTCCTTCGGCAGTAGCCTTAGTTCTCGCTTCGTTCAGAACGACCCCAACCTCTCTATCATGGCGGAGGCCGAGGCTGTGTACCGCTACGAGTCCGGAAACATCGCGCATGCACCCAAGAAGGATTACGGGCCTTTGGACTTCACTGGCAAGCTTGGTGGGGGCCTGCGACTCGATATCCGCAGGCGAGCGCCGCTGTATTGCAGTGATTGGACGGATGCCTTCAAACCGGAGAACTTCCAGAAGTCGGTATCGTCCATCTTGTATCTGTTCCTTCGTCTTGCAGTATGCAAACCTATGTCTGAAGCTAGTGAAGTCTTCTAGAGTGCCGCTAATCTGGAAGTGTAGCGTTTCGTTTTGGATATTGGCCAGTCGTGGCAGTAAGGTTCATCGCAGCCCTTGTCCCTGCGATTACGTTCGGCAGTCGGTTCCTTGACGGCACGAACGGCCAGTTCGGAGTGATGGAAATGATTATGAGCACATGTATCAGCGGCTTGATCTTCTCAACATTTTCCGGTCAACCCCTTTCGATTTTGGGTGCTACTGGTCCGTTCTTGGCTTATACGCTTGTCGTCTATGACTTGGCAGTTGCCGTGGACGTGGAATTCATGCCGTTTTATTTCTGGACATGCATGTGGTGCTCCCTCTTCACCGTGCTGGTTGCGGTCTTCGATTTGTGCGCGCTCATGAAGCACGTGACTATGTTCAGCGAAGACATCTTCGCAGGATTCTAGCCTGTGCAGTGATGCAGGTTTGTTTTTGATATTCGAGGTTCTGATTACAATATAACAAACCTGAGTCTGAAGAAGCTATTGGAGTTACTGAACAGTCTAGGATTAATCTCGCTGATCTTCATCATCGACGGAGCCCGGCCAATCATCGAGAATTTCACGGAAAGCAGGCTGACGCTGACGAACTGCATGTTTGAAGCCCTCTTGTTCCTTTGGACATTTGGTTTGGCAACATACTTGTCCAGCTTCCGCCGAAGCCCCTGGACTTTCCGATTCGTTCGCAACTTTGCGGCCAATTTCGCAGTGACCATCGCCTTGGTGAGTGGCTCCGCTTTGGCTGCTATTTACTCCAACGACACAGGCCTGAGGATGTTGCAGGTGGACGCAGACTTCTCGCCCAACTTGAGCTTGTCCGATGGCAGCAAGCGGCCGTGGATCATTAATCCCGCCGGCATGGACCGCCCCTTCCCAGCTTGGGGCATTGCTTATGCGATCCTTCCGGCGGCTTGATAAGAGGACATGCTTCTGGTCTCTTGTTGATTGAGGCTACAAGGTTGTAGGCGAACATATTCGCAGCTAGCGTCATCTCAAGCAACTAGCTTCACCTCGAGCACAACCGAGGCGATTGGCTTCGCAGTGTTAGGTTACTTGGATCAGAATCTCACCAGTGTGATCGTGAACAGACCCTCCAACGGTCTGAAGAAGCCGGCTGCGTACCACCTGGACTTGCGGCTAAGAGAGAAATTAGAGTCCCTTTTGCCCTTTTAGGCCTGGGGTTGCCTAGTATCTTAGTAAGAGGTCCACAAAAAGGATCCTCTTGTGTTTTCCTCCTTAAGAGGGGCTCAGGTTTGTTCGGGGAGCGCTCACGCTGCCTATCTGTGCTGTGCTGGGCCTGCCGCTGTCCGTGGCCTCCACGGTGCCGAGCATCACTCACGTAATCTCGCTGACCACTTACGAAGTGAAGCAGCTTCCGGAAGGTGAGCGCAAGGTGCCTACGAAGGTGGTGGAACAGCGTGCTACCAACTTCTTGAACCTTAGTAGCTGAGTGAGTACGCTTTACACCTATATTATCCTCTATCTGTCTAACTGAAATTTACACTTGTTGGGCTTAGGAACTATGAACTCAGCAACTAAGGATTCACGTGCTCATTGGCTCAGCACTCTTCCTGGCACCAGTGCTGAAGTTCCTGCCCCGGGCCGTGCTGCAGGGCGTGTTCTTCTACATGGGAATCGCGAGCCTGACCGGCAACAACCTCTTCGACCGTTTGAAGCTGTGGCTCATCTGGGACCCGGCGAAGTACCCGCAGTACCACTACATCCAGAAGCTGCCCATCAGCCGAGTGCACCTGTACACCGTCGTCCAGGTCATCTGTCTTGGCATTCTGTATGGACTGAAAGCTATCAAGGAAACGTCGGTGGTGTTCCCGTTCTTCATGGCCTCCCTGGCCATCATCCGCAAGGCCATGAGGTTCATGTTCACCGAGGATGAGCTGAAGCAGCTGGATGGCATCCCAGGTGAGGATGAGGAAGAGGATGCCACGATGTCGAAGCCGGACATTGTGAACTTGGACGTGAAAGAGGCCGCCTAGGAGAACAAGGATGTTCAACTAGCGTAGATAGGGAGGCTGCTCAGCCGGACCGCTTTGCACAATTCAATCAGTTTTGGTTCCTCGGGACTCGTCAGCGAAGCTCTTCTTGGGAGGCCTTTCCTGGCAAACCTGTTCCAGCACGGCTGGCAAGACCCTGTGGGTCGGGAACTGAATGAATCAGTATTAATCAGGAAATAGCCCTTGGGTCATCAGCTTCCGTGCTTGACGTTTTGTGTCCAAAGAAATCCTGTGGCCCATTTGCGGCCAAGCAACGCCAATTACGTGCTGAAGGAGGTCGAACGCCGAAGGCGAGCGAACCTCCGGCACGAGTTCTGTGTACAAGCATTGCGTTGCTAAACCAGCTCACTCTACATTACGTGCGAAAATGGGCAGTAGTCTTCTGGGAAATCACTTGCCAGTGGATCGCCTGACTGATATGTTGTCCTTCCCACTTGGTTTCTTTAAGTCTTGGAGATTGTTCTGGCCGCATCTCGAGGGAAAACCCAATGCGTCCTTGGCTCGAGGTCCTTCGGCAGTAGCCTTAGTTCTCGCTTCGTTCAGAACGACCCCAACCTTTCTATCATGGCGGAGGCCGAGGCTGTGTACCGCTACGAGTCCGGAAACATCGCGCATGCACCCAAGAAGGATTACGGGCCTTTGGACTTCACTGGCAAGCTTGGTGGGGGCTTGCGACTCGATATCCGCAGGCGAGCGCCGCTGTATTGCAGTGATTGGACGGATGCCTTCAAACCGGAGAACTTCCAGAAGTCGGTATCGTCCATCTTGTATCTGTTCCTTCGTCTTGCAATATGCAAACCTGTGTCTGAAGCTAGTGAAGTCTTCTAGAGTGCCGCTAATCTGGAAGTGTAGCGTTTCGTTTTGGATATTGGCCAGTCGTGGCAGTAAGGTTCATCGCAGCCCTTGCCCCTGCGATTACGTTCGGCAGTCGGTTCCTTGACGGCACGAACGGCCAGTTCGGAGTGATGGAAATGATTATGAGCACATGTATCAGCGGCTTGATCTTCTCAACATTTTCCGGTCAACCCCTTTCGATTTTGGGTGCTACTGGTCCGTTCTTGGCTTATACGCTTGTCGTCTATGACTTGGCAGTTGCCGTGGACGTGGAATTCATGCCGTTTTATTTCTGGACATGCATGTGGTGCTCCCTCTTCACCGTGCTGGTTGCGGTCTTCGATTTGTGCGCGCTCATGAAGCACGTGACTATGTTCAGCGAAGACATCTTCGCAGGATTCTAGCCTGTGCAGTGATGCAGGTTTGTTTTTGATATTCTGGGTTCTGATTACAATATAACAAACCTGAATCTGAAGAAGCAATTGGAGTTACTGAACAGTCTAGGATTAATCTCGCTGATCTTCATCATCGACGGAGCCCGGCCAATCATCGAGAATTTCACGGAAAGCAGGCTGACGCTGACGAACTGCATGTTTGAAGCCCTCTTGTTCATTTGGACATTTGGTTTGGCAACATACTTGTCCAGCTTCCGCCGAAGCCCCTGGACTTTCCGATTCGTTCGCAACTTTGCGGCCAATTTCGCAGTGACCATCGCCTTGGTGAGTGGCTCCGCTTTGGCTGCTATTTACTCCAACGACACAGGCCTGAGGATGTTGCAGGTGGACGCAGACTTCTCGCCCAACTTGAGCTTGTCCGATGGCAGCAAGCGGCCGTGGATCATTAATCCCGCCGGCATGGACCGCCCCTTCCCAGCTTGGGGCATTGCTTATGCGATCCTTCCGGCGGCTTGATAAGAGGACATGCTTCTGGTCTCTTGTTGATTGAGGCTACAAGGTTGTAGGCGAACATATTCGCAGCTAGCGTCATCTCAAGCAACTAGCTTCACCTCGAGCACAACCGAGGCGATTGGCTTCGCAGTGTTAGGTTACTTGGATCAGAATCTCACCAGTGTGATCGTGAACAGACCCTCCAACGGTCTGAAGAAGCCGGCTGCGTACCACCTGGACTTGCGGCTAAGAGAGAAATTAGAGTCCCTTTTGCCCTTTTAGGCCTGGGGTTGCCTAGTATCTTAGTAAGAGGTCCACAAAAAGGATCCTCTTGTGTTTTCCTCCTTAAGAGGGGCTCAGGTTTGTTCGGGGAGCGCTCACGCTGCCTATCTGTGCTGTGCTGGGCCTGCCGCTGTCCGTGGCCTCCACGGTGCCGAGCATCACTCACGTAATCTCGCTGACCACTTACGAAGTGAAGCAGCTTCCGGAAGGTGAGCGCAAGGTGCCTACGAAGGTGGTGGAACAGCGTGCTACCAACTTCTTGAACCTTAGTAGCTGAGTGAGTACGCTTTACACCTATATTATCCTCTATCTGTCTAACTGAAATTTACACTTGTTGGGCTTAGGAACTATGAACTCAGCAACTAAGGATTCACGTGCTCATTGGCTCAGCACTCTTCCTGGCACCAGTGCTGAAGTTCCTGCCCCGGGCCGTGCTGCAGGGCGTGTTCTTCTACATGGGAATCGCGAGCCTGACCGGCAACAACCTCTTCGACCGTTTGAAGCTGTGGCTCATCTGGGACCCGGCGAAGTACCCGCAGTACCACTACATCCAGAAGCTGCCCATCAGCCGAGTGCACCTGTACACCGTCGTCCAGGTCATCTGTCTTGGCATTCTGTATGGACTGAAAGCTATCAAGGAAACGTCGGTGGTGTTCCCGTTCTTCATGGCCTCCCTGGCCATCATCCGCAAGGCCATGAGGTTCATGTTCACCGAGGATGAGCTGAAGCAGCTGGATGGCATCCCAGGTGAGGATGAGGAAGAGGATGCCACGATGTCGAAGCCGGACATTGTGAACTTGGACGTGAAAGAGGCCGCCTAGGAGAACAAGGATGTTCAACTAGCGTAGATAGGGAGGCTGCTCAGCCGGACCGCTTTGCACAATTCAATCAGTTTTGGTTCCTCGGGACTCGTCAGCGAAGCTCTTCTTGGGAGGCCTTTCCTGGCAAACCTGTTCCAGCACGGCTGGCAAGACCCTGTGGGTCGGGAACTGAATGAATCAGTATTAATCAGGAAATAGCCCTTGGGTCATCAGCTTCCGTGCTTGACGTTTTGTGTCCAAATAAAACCTGTGGCCCATTTGCGGCCAAGCAACGCCAATTACGTGCTGAGGGAGGTCGAACGCCGAAGGCGAGCGAACCTCCGGCACGACTTCTTTGTGCAAGAGTTGCGTTGCTAAACAAGTTCACCTGAAATCCTCGAGCGCACAAAAATCTGGAACCTTGACTGGCTTTCGCACCCTGCATGCTCAGTAAGAGAAATGCTTGACACGCCATGCGATAGCACAGTGCGGCTTCCGTCCTTGGAAAGGTGCCCTTCTGTGTAATTAGTTACATGTGGGGGTTTCCGAAAATAGGGTTCCCTAATATAGTACCCTAAAAAGTAGGATCCTTATTCTAAGGACCCCAAATAAGGTACCCCTAATTTTCGGAAACTCCCATATAGTTACATGGGTAGCTGTCAAAATTAGGGTCCCTTTTGGGGTCCCTATTAGAGTACGGCACCTAAAATTTAGGGTGCCCAGAAAGGGACCCTAATTTTGAGAACAACCCACATGTAGGTTTGAGAAGAAATCGACCCGGTAGCTGAAGACCAGGGTTTGGGGTTTCGGGTTTCGGGTTTGGGGTTTAGGGTTTAGGGTTTAGGGTTTGGGGTTTAGGGTGTAGAGTTTAGGGTTTAGGCTTTAGGGTTTAGGGTTTGGGGTTGAGGGTGTAGAGTTTAGGGTTTAGGGTTGAGGGTTTAGGCTTTAGGGTTTAGGGTTTGGGGTTTGGGGTTTAGGGTGTAGAGTTTAGGAGTTCGGGGGTTTTAGGGTTTAGGGTTTGGGGTTTGGGGCCTAAGTTTAGGGTTTAGGGTGTAGGGTTTAGGAGTTTGGGGCTTTAGGGTTTAGGGTGTAGGGTTTATGGGTTTGGGGGTTTTGGAGTAAGGGTTTGGGGTTTAGGGTCACGATCTAGGCGTTGCAATTTAGGGGTTGGGGCTCAGGGACGTGGATTTAGGCCCTATAGGATTATGTGCATACTTTGTGGTTATATACGTATATATATAATATATATATATATATATATATATATATATATATACGCACACACACACACACACCTTACATTTTTATAGATGCTGTATGTCTATGTCATGCCCTCCCAGAAGTGCCCTTTGAGAGCAGCGAGCTCGTGCAGCCACTGCGGCCCTCTTCATGTGAGCTGACAAGCGATAAAAGCTCCAGCCTCAGGGTTTGGGAAGGTACCTATACTGCATTACTACATCCACAAACAAGAGCACGAAAGATTGATATTACTCATCAATCAGGCTTCTATATCATATTATCATCACTGGTACAGACGATGCACGAGCTTGTTGTGTGTGTTTTCATATCTTTCACGGGACGCCACGTAACAGAAAAAGATCCGGGAGCGAGCCCAGGCCCTCGACACAATGCCATGTGGGAGTTTCCAAAAATTTAGGGTACCTCATATTGGGGTCCTTACATTAATGAGGATCCTTCTATTTAGGGTCAATTTAGGGTACTATGTTACGGTCCCTTATTTGCGGAACTCCCATTTAGATTGCCTGCTTTAGGGGTCTCCTTGAGTGTCTGCCTGCGTTGTTCGGGCAAGTCTCGAGCGATGGCTTCAGAAGCCCCTTCGAACGTGGTGGACGTCAAGGCACCTGCCAGTAGACAACCCCATTTATGAGTTTCACAGTTTTGTATATGCCTGCTCAAATACTTGACTACGCACGTAAGTGAGCGAGTGAGGACGTGACTGTATATAGAAACAGATATAAATACACGAAAATAGACCAATCAGGTAATCGACACCCAATAAAGCCTAAGGCCGAATCAGCTTGCTGTAGAATCCTTGACAGCCTGAATAAGAATCAACATTCTTCCGCAGGAGATGCGCCAGCCTGACTTGTCCGAGGAGCCCGGTCAGTGCAGTAAAGAAATGGAAAGTTCCTCATCGGAGTGTTTTGTGTTTACTGGGCCTAGTTAGGGGTTTAGGGTTTAGGGTGCCCCATCTTCCATGCCCGTCAGCTTAGGCCGTTGATTAGTTCGTCTCTAGCGGCCCTATTGTCCCTAAACCCTAAACGCTAAACCCACAGACCTGACCTGGCCTGAGGCACGAGCCTCTCGGATCCTCTCGAAACCACATGAGGAGTCCAGAAATAAGGGAAACTCGTCACAGCGAAGCGTCTACGACTGCGACATGGTAAGCCGCAAATTCTGCTTGAAGGTTCATTGGTTCATGGACGCATAGAACTAAAATTATGTATGTAAGATTATGTATGTTGCAAGATGTTCATCCTAGAAAGGCCTCAGATCCTAACTTAAGACTTAAGTGAAGCATCGAGAAACTGGGAAACCGTAGGAAAGACCCACAGAGGAACAACTAGGAAGTAGAAATTCAGCCACAGGAGAAACGCAGGATACAAAACCGTAATTAAACCTGAGAATAATGCACCGTCGGAAACTTTAGAACTATGAAACAGAAACAACCCAAGAACGACCAAACAACATGTAGAACATGCATGATTTCTGTGTTCTTCCTTTTCTCCAAGGTGCATAGGCAATGGGAACAAAAATAGGAGGGCAATAGGAACACGTAAGAGAAATTCAGCAAGAAAAGCAGAGACGCCATCAACTAGCCCATGAACACCGAGAACCTTGACAAGCGACTTTCAAGCCTGTAAAAACTAACAGTGCTAGAATTGTCATAAAAAACACATAGGAAGAACACAAGAGGCTTTGAAACCCATGGAATCCCTATGGATTTCCTTAGAGCCCTAATTAAACCTACCTTAAACCCCTTACAAGCCCTTCAACTCGCGGTCCGGTTGTTCTGCAAAGAGGAGTGGCAGCGGCGGTGTGCCGAGACGACGGCCCGCCTGAAAGAGACCGAAGGACCGGACCGGCTGTGAAGGTTCATCTTCCTGACTTTTTTTGAAATGGAGGATGGATCCCTACGAAAGTCTCTTAGAGTCTCTTTTCCTGGCCGTCAGTCATGGGATGCGCAGTTGCCAGCAGGGTCGTCAGGAAGGTCAGTGTGGTTATTTCAATGTGTGTTGTCCAGGTATCTTAATCCGTTTGTTAACGTTTACTTTTTTGCGATGCCACGGCTTCCAACACGGATTAAGGTACCCAAGCTGCCCACGGCCCTTTTTCTTTGCGGCAGTTGCAGGTCGTTCTGCCCTTTGCCTTCAAGAACAATATTTCAGTTTCACTATATTACTCAATCATATCGACTCTCGGATGTTGTATTTCGTTGGTGCTGCTACAGATAAACAACTTCGATAATCGTGCCTCTGAGCCCCTGAATTTTGAAGTCACGATAGAGAAGCCTTGAAGGCCCGAGCCATACGTAAAGGATCAGCGGACTTGGTAAACAGGTGATATTTCAGTATCATGAAGCCTTAAGCCCTAAGCCAATTAAGGTAATGATAATGATAACCCCTGCACAGCCACCTTCTCTTGTGACCTTCTTTCACATGCCCGGATTCTTCGAGGGATGGGCATGGGTCTGAAACGGAACATGGGAGAGTGCGAAAGTGGGAGCCCCCTTTGCGTTCTCAAGGATCGGATTGGGGCAGGGTCAGGGTCTGTGTATGGTCCCCACTTCAGTGAAGTTTCAGTAGAAACCTAAATAATTACCAATGTTTACTCTTTAGGATTCCCTATTTAAGCCTTTAGTCTACCGGCAACACCCTAAAGTAATAACGACGGCCCTTACATTACCCTTCTTTAGAAGTACCTTCAGACCAAAGGCCCTGAAGCCAGAAGCTCTGTAGCGTCAACCTGAATCCGTACTCCCTCTTGACTCAAGTGAATCATTTTTGTGTGTACATCATATATATATATATACACACACACACAGACACTATGTGTTCGATGTGTGTACCTCTATATGTATATATCTGTGTATGTATGTATGTATGTATGTATGTATGTATGTATATATGCATGTATGGTAGTGTACAATGTAATGGAATATGCTATAGTGTAATGTAGTGTAATGTAATGTATGCACGTATGCGTGTATGTATGCATATGTGTATGTACGTATGTACGTATGTACATAGAATGTTGCTCATTTTCGAGCTATAAACAGTTTTCTATGTGTACTTGTTGTTTTTTCATTATTTACAGATAACCTTCAGAACCCAATGAGCCCCATCATACTTTTCCTGATCCTTCCGGGCTTGTATAAACCCTAAATCCCCAAACCCCCAAATTCTCGACCCCTCAACCCCTAAGCCCTAAACCCCGAAACCCCCAAACCCCTAAACCCTAAACCCCAAATCCTAAACCCAAAAACCCTAAACCGCCTTTTTGACTCTCTCCAGGGGAGCTGACGATGGTCCAGAAGCGGCTGACAAACATGGGCGCGCCGCCGCCTTGGAGTCTGAAGTAGCGGCTTAAAATGAGTATGAATGTTCTTCCTTACGGCTCTTCAGTTTGTATATATATATATATATGTATACCTATGTGTGTGCATATATATATATATATATATATATATACACACATTTTTTGCATAGAAAGAAAGGTAGACAGATACATATACTGCAATGGATCTTTTGAAGATTCGGGATTTGGGCTTAGGGTTTGGGGATTTGTGACTTGGGGTTTAGGGTCTAGGGGATTTAGGATATTGTGCGTTGGAATCTGAGGTTTAGGTTTGGGGGTTTCGGGGGTTTTTGATTTCGAGAGTTAGTTTTGGGGGTGGCTTTATCGTGCTCTGTGAGGCTGTTCTATTCTGATTCAAGGGGGCCCTTCGCTTTGAAGCATCTAGTCAATCTAGTCAGAAGTCGGAACAGTTCCCGAAACACCCCATGATGAGGGACCGGCCGCCACCATGAACAAGTCAGGAGCAAGACCGACGCAAGATAGAAGCCTGAATAATAACTATTCCTTGTATTGTTCCTTATTGTGAGCATGCTGTCCTACCTAGTCCCCCCAGCTACCCTCTAATCTACCCCAAATGCCCACTATTAAGGGCTATAAGGCCTCTATTTAAGGGCCCTTGGGGGGTCCTGGTATACCCCAATTCAAAACCCTAGTATTGCAGGCTTCTGGAGACAGCAGCCGGGCAGCGAACCTCGAAGACGAGTACGCTGCAGGTGCTCCGACCCGAGCTCGGCAGTATAAGGTAGGGGCCTTAATCATAAGAATAGGGTTCCTTTAAACGGTCTAAAAGGGCTACGACAAGGGCTATTAAAAAGGGTTTAGGAGAAGCAGGATTTCGGGGTTTAGGGTTCAGGGATTTCACGGTGTAACTGCGGGTCCAGCTGGTGTTCTGCCAAAGCCTGCCAAGATTATTATACTCTCGAGTCTTGAACTTTTCTTCTGGGCTCTTAGCTGTTTTGGATTTGTTTTTGGGTTTAGGCTTTAGGGGTGTAGACTCGTTGCTCTTATGGGATGCCCACTGTGTGCAGATTCCACGTGAAGCTAAGATGGTGGGCATTACGCAACTCAGCTGATGCAGGCCTAAATCCCGACACCCTGAAGCCCTAAGCGCGAAGCCCTGAATCACAAAACCTTGGGGTGTGTCATTTCTGTCTCCGTGTAGTTTTGCCCATCAGCAGAATAACGATTGAGTCGGCATGAACGGAGTAGCAATATTTACCGGTCATAAGTCATAAGTCAAAACTTGTGCATACTTATAGCAAAATATACTATCTCCAAAACTCCAAAAAGCCATTCTAACAACCAGGACCCCTGTAGAACCCCAAACCCCCAAAAAGTCCTTTTTTCTTCTACGACCCCCGTGTGGGCGTGAAAGAACCGTCTGCACGCTGGGTCTCGCTTGTTACACAGAATGCACCTTGGAGGCCGGAATAATTGGGAGTTTCCGAAATTAGCAGTACCTTATTTTGGGGTCCTTATAATAAGGATCCTACTATTTAGGGTACTATATTAGGGTGCCCTATTTTCGGAAATTCCCAATTTGCAATCTTCTTAGTAATACTGAGCCCTTGTTGGGTAACATTTTACATTTTTATAGGTACTTAAACCCAATAAGGAATAGAAATGTACATTTTTAATCCTATCTCAACAATGAACTAGAATAGCATACCCACGGTACGCATATTGTATTGGATGACGCGCCCAATCCCATTCAAATCAGCAAAGGCATCCCCTTACCGTCCCAATATTCTGCTATCGCCCGAAAACGTCATGCGAACCCCTAGTAAGACCCCCCAAAAACCCTAAACCCTAAACCCTAAACCCCCAAAAACTTTGGGCCGGAGGCCGAGGTGGCCGAGGAGCGGCGGCTCCGGAAAGAGGCCGAGGCGGCGATGTGGACTTGAAGCGACTTAGGAAAGGGTAGGGTTTGGGGAGTTTAGGGTTTAGGGTTTGGGGAGTTTAGGGTTTAGGGTTTGGGGTTTAGGGTTGCGGGTCTGGTTTAGGGTTTAGGGCGTGGCCATGCTCTGTGCACACCTGGTCTCCGAACCCGGAAACCCCAGTCTATGACCTTACTGGTTGTGTGGGTCCTGCGGGTGGGCTCGCAGAACACTTCGCTCGCCCTCAAGCACAATTGTGGCTCCGGCCCCTATTTATGAGGCGAGGCGCGCGACTTTTCAGAGGGTTCAAGACTGGTGTTGTATACCACGTCCTACTGGCGGCCGCAACAGGAATTTGATGCTCTGTTTGCGCCATGTTGGGACGTGCTTGATTCCATTCGAGCCCGCCGTGCGCACGCTGGGCAGGCATGTGCTGTGGTGGCAAGCATGAATATGGGTCGTGGTGCCGTTGCTAAGGGGGCGGTCTTCACAGGACCCAGAAGTGCAGCGGAGTGAGGCTGCAGAGCTCGGCATGTATGTAAATTCCAACTTCTCCGCATTGAAGATTGACGCTAGACAGCCAAGCCCAGAAGTTGCGCGGGCTTCGTGATGATATGAGTGGGCTCCAGACCTTTGTCAAAGACACGATGTCAAAGGTCGCCACGAAGGATGATATCGGTCGGATGCTCCGCGGTCTCTTGGCGGGCAAGAGCCAAAAGACTTCTCCGGCCGCATGGCCAGAAGTTTGTGGGGGGCTGCGTCCCTTTTGCCTTCCGCAGCCTCCTGATGTATGCAGTTTGCAATAACAATACAAAGCCGCAGGAAGCTGTCCAATGCTATAAGAAACTAGAATAGCTTTGTGAGCTAGTGCTCGTTCGCTATCTGCCCACCGCAGTCCTCGCACTTGGGCGGCACAAGCGTACTGCTTCTGGGGGTAATGAGACACTTGTTGGCGCCTGTCCTGACTTGTGCTGCGTTGCGACTACCGGTCTGCCAACTTTTGAGGTGGCCTCATTGGGGGAGATGCGTGCTAACGTCGTTGATTGTCGCTTTCAGCTTGTAACTTTTTCTGGTAGGGTGTCAAGGTCCAGTGTGTTGCAGGTTGCAAAGCCCGGGCTACAGCGAATTGCAAGTCTTGTAAGTTTCCACGGGAAAGACTATCAATCTGACGTTACTCGTTCCTCGGCTTTCCAGCTATGGCACCAACAGGGGTGGCAGGGAAGATCCTCGCGAGCTTTTGTGGCCTGGGTGGCATCCCCGCACGGTGCCATGGAGGTACTTGTGCTGATAAAGCTTGTCGTGCCGTCAATGATCTGGTTCTGGCTAAGGCTCTTGCAGCCGGCACGGTGGACACCGTTGAACACAGAGTTGACCTGAACAAAAGTTTGATGCCCATGAAGATCGGTGGTCGTCGACCGGACGGCGTTCTTATTTTGCAGGTCACGCTTCGCACTGAGTCGCTCCATAATGCCAAGATAGTGGCGCTGCGGCTTCGGCCGCTGGAAGATGAACTTGAATTGTCTCCGGATGCTTGGGCTTGGAAGTCCGATGCATGTGCAGTCGCGATTCATGACCCTTTGCCACACACCCGCTTACGAACTTCAACGTGCTCGTGACACATATCGCAGTGCCATGAATTGTTTGAGCCGTATCGCTTCATTGTGGCTTCGGGCGAGGCCATGTCTGCTTGGGTGAGACCGCGCACTAAGAGGCCTAAGGTGATCCAATGCACCGTATGTGGTCAGACCGAACTGTTCTGATGTCAAATTTGTTGCAACGTCTCGATCCCGAACTGCTTCCGGAGGACGTGATGGTGCGTTGATTCGGTCGGAGCGTCTCTGCACTGCCGGTGTTGACGACCCATCTCAAATGTCTGCTTCTGTAATCGTCCGAATTCGTGTTCACCGCCAGTTCGCCGTGGCGCCTGTCAGGCAAAAGCGACTGCACCGGTTTGTGGTTTAAGGTTTGGGGGCCGGGTTTAGGGAGTTTAGGTTGGAGTTGTATCGGTTTTTAGGGCTTGGGGTTTCGGGTTTAGGGTGATGGAGCCGTAAGACAAGTAGTGAGAGGAATGTAGTATATGTAAGGACATGGGGAGACATAGGGGCCTTGCTTGATTTCTAGAACAGGATTTTGGGGGCATAGCTTAGCAAAAAGCACATAGAAGTGCTAGGGGCTTCACATTGATGCTTAGGGTTTAAGGTATGCGGTTTATGGTTTCGGATATAATATAGTGACAACAGGTCGAAACGATGGCGGTAGTGGTGATCAAGATGACAGCGGACGTGAGGATGAGATGATTCCACCCCCGGTATCAGCATATCTACACAACCGTCACCACCACCGCCACCACCACCGCCACCACCACCACCACCACCACCACCACCACCACCACCACCACCACCGCCACCGCCACCGCCACCGCCACCGCCACCGCCACCGCCACCGCCACTGGGCGGCCTTTAGCAGGGAATGAGGGAATGAGTGGGGCACGGCGCCAGCCCCGATCTTAGCACTGGGGCACTGCTTGGATGCGAAAGACATCGGCGACAACTCGCACTTCCTAGCACCGGGCACCGCTGCGAGGCCAAACCAACGGCAACAAATCATACTTCTTAGCACTGGGGCACCACTTAGAGGCCAAAAAACGGAAACAAATCGCACCCATGTACAAGTCCAACGGATTTAAAATCCGTTGGACTTGAATTTGACGAGGTTCTAAACTGCGAAAAGACCCGCTGATGCACATGATGCTCGGCCCCTGCCCTCCCAGACACAAGTCCAGCGGATTTAAAGTCCGTTGGACTTGCGTCTGGGAGGGATTTAGCTGGAATTGAAGCCCGAAAAAGGCCACTGATGAAGGTCTTTCCACTCACATGTTACTATTTAATTGAGTACTAGTAGCAGTCGTCGTCGTGGTAGTGGTAGGCCTGGTGGCGGTAGTCGTGGTAGCGGTAGTGGTAGTGGAAGTGGTAGGGGTAGTGGTAATGGTAGCGGTAGCGGTAGGGGCAGTTCTGGTGGTAGTGGTATAGTGGTAGCGGTAGTGGTAGTGGTAGTGCAGTTGCAGCAGTAGTGGGAGTAGTAGCAGTAGTAGCAGTAGCAACAGCAGCGCCACAGCCCGGCTTTGTTATGCAGATTTTTTGCTTCACTTGGCGGGTTTGGGTGGTATACGCGGGAGTTTGAGCGGTGGGGTGCGATTGAGGCTTCAGGCTACTTGGAGGATCATGGGGCTTAGTAACTTGGGCTATAAATAAGGTAGCTATACTTATAGCTCCAACTAGGCTACGTATAACCTGACTAAGTCCCATGATCCTCCGAGTAGGGGTTGAGGTCGCAGGCAGCGCGAAAAATTCCGTTGGCCTGGTCTTCCTCCAGCGGTTCCTCTCTGGGCGGGCGGGTTTGGCGAGCAGCACTCGCGACGACCCGCCGCTTGCTCGGAGACCCCAAACCGGGGAGGCCAGGCCAACGGAACGTTCAAGGGCACCCGACCCTCACCCTAGCCCTAACCCTGGCATATGGGGCCCTGCGGAAGGCTGAGGGTGTGGCAGCGGCGGTGGGGAGGAAGGAAGGAAGACCCTTGCAATGAACACGAAGGATACGATATGTGCGTGCGTGCAAACGAACCGGGGGAGCATCATACCCACCCCAAAAGAGAATTTCCACGCCTACCTAATCGAGGCGAATTTCACACCCACCACAAAAGAATTTCCACATCCACTTAAGCGACATCCTTACCAAATGTGTCGCCCGCTTCGCCCAAGGATTTTGCTGACCGAAACCCTTGTCTCAACATTGTCCAGGGCGGGCTGCGCTGTACTAAGAGAGAAGTTTGCTGTAGAGGCCAAGGCCCCTTGCGATAGGCGTCTCGTGACCGAAACCTTCTTCTTAGTACAGTCCAGGGCGCCCTGGGTTGTACCAAGATAGGGTTCTGCCGACCGAAGCCTTTCTTAGTACAGTCCAGGGCGCCCTGGGTTGTACTAACATATAGTTCTGCCGACCGAAGCCTTTCTTAGTCTTAATCCAGGGCGCCTGGGTTGTACTAAGATAGGGTTCTGCCGACCGAAGCCTTTCTTGGTACTCGTACAGTCCAGGGCGCCCTGGGTTGTACTGAGATAGGGTTCTGCCAACCGACGCTTTTCTTAGTACAGTCCGGGGCGCCCTGGGATGTACTAAGATAGGGTTCTGCCGACCGAAGCCTTTCGCCCGCCGCCCCCCGCCACCCCCCCCACCACCGCCACCGCCACCGCCACCGCCCCCCGCACCCCCCCGCCGTCCCCCCCGCCCCCCCGCCCCTCCGCCCCAGCACCACCACGGCCTTGCCGTTTTGCCAGTAGTATTCGCAATTCTTGGTAGCATGTTTCGCCTTGACTACTGCACCCATGTTACCGTAGCAGCACTTGTTTGCACTATTCCTGGCACACCGCTACAATAGTTCAGATGATTGAACTCATGATGCGTTGCTGCCATTTCCACTACAGGTAGCAGCGGCTGCTAGCCAGAGACCAGTATGCGAATGATGCAGATGCCTGAATAGCCAATGATACCGCTCTTCAGGCAACCTATCATGAAGATATTTTCTGGATCTGTTACTGCAATAAAGTCCAATACTGCATTGACATTGTTTTCAAGATTAACAGCCATACATATTTTTCGGGAATCTCATGCCAGGATAAGCTCTGGGCGGAGCGACGCCGGTGTCAAGATCTCGAGGCCAACGTTAGCGTTAGCTTCAAGCAAAGGGCCAGCAATCCGAACGCAGCATCTGATCCCGCCTACAAGTTTCATCCCGTGTGTGAGTTTGATTTCAAGTCGAGCTCCAGGGTAGAACTTATGCCCTGAACTGCGCACGCAGCTTAACCCCAAAACACGAAGCTTCCGTTCTTCTGTCCAACTCGTTGCAGGCCATGCTCTCCCACGAGCATCGTTTGCGACGAGATGTCGAGGTTCATGTGGTGGATGAGTTTCTGTTTGGGGCTTGAGGTTTTTATACGAAGGGCGTTAGGGTTTTAAGGTAGAAGGGTCTAGTGAGTGTTGAGGGTTTACAACGTGTTCTCAAGCCGGATGGGTCTGCATATCCACGCTTCCCGGAGAAAGGACAGAAAGAGAGACACAGACTCTGACCGGAGGACCTTCAACATACAGTTTTCACAGGGGCCCTGGGGCCCAGGGCCTTGACACGCGCCTAATGGCTTGATGAAGACACAGTGTGTGTGTGTGTGTGTGTGTGTTCAGCGACTAGCAGTGGACGCTTTTGCTTGCAGAGTGCCCAGGTTTGTTGAGGCTGGCGGTGTTGACTTGAGGGATAATGCTCCTGCTTCATCTTGCATCTAATATTCATGCGCATTTCTGTGATGCGGCCAAACAAGGAAAGAGGAACGGGCCCCGGAACTGCCAGCCTGGATGGCAGTATGATTGAGAAGCGACGAAAAGCGCACTGCAGCTCAATGCGAAAGCCGGGCTTCCTTGGAAATTTGCATAGGGCAGACAAGTAGAGAAAAGAGAGAAGGAACCCGCCCCAAACCCTAAACTTAATGTTCAATTTCAGGACCCTCCAGGGAGGAGGGGCCCGCAGAATCAAGTCCAGGCTGCCCAACATGGCCCTGGAGAGCTCCAGAAGCACCCTGGCAGTTAGGAGCAGTTCTCTTAGAAGATGGGGTTTAGGGCTTATAGGGTTTGTAACTGTTTCGTGGGGTTTTCTTTGAAGAATCGGGGTTTGAGAGTTGAGGCTTAGGCTTTTCGGGTACTGGGTTCAGGGTTGACATGTGTTTCTATTCGGGTTTCCGTAGGAGGAATGCAGAAATCGTCTCGCAATGACAAGTGGGACAGGTCCAGTCTCGTACTGTGTAACCAAACCCTCAGCCCCGTAAGCTCTAAAAGAGAAGCCCCTAAACCCATCCAATTATAGACCTTAGAACCCGTAAACCCTAAACCCTAAAACCCGTAAACCCTAACCCCTAAACCCTAAACCCCCAAACTCCGGCCCAGGCTGAGGGCAAACTTGGCCTCCGAGCGCAAGGCGCGGGCCGCCGCGGAGGCGGCCGCGGGGGCTCGCGGGAGTGGTGTTGGAGTGATTTGCCTTGATTTTGTCAACAAAAATGCTCGAGCTTTCAAAAATCAGCTGGGTGATGTTCGGATTGAGGAGGTAGATATCTTAAGATTAGAGTTCAAGCACTTATTAGTTACTAGTAGGTTCTTGACAGGCATTCCCCAGGATTTCAACCTGGTTCATGGATAGTTCAACAAACTGGCCGTAGGGGGTCAGATACTGTATACGTTCAGGGGTTGAAGATCACGGATCTAGGGATCCAGGAACGATTTTGGGTGGGGGTCAAGGTTTCTTTTTCTTTTTTTTCAAAACGTGGCTTTAAGCATAAATTCTGCAATACTCCTAAGCCACCTAGAAGCTTAAAATTGAGGAAGCTGCGGTTGAGGGAAAGCCCTGAACGCTTTTTGAGCCCTCTACATTAGATGGGGCCCCGGCCCACTAATAGTTCAACAATAGGTTTATTATCAAACAGACAGGCCAAAAGTAGCACAAGGAAATCTGATCTCATTCGGCCTTCCAGGGCCAGGCAGTGTTTTGAATCCAAATATGTTTGGCATAGTTTGGCGATTAGGGCTGTGAGATGCGGTCGGACCGGCGAAGAGGTTGGGAGGAGCTATCTGCAGCTTACCAGCGCAGAGGTTTGGAACCACGGTTTCGTTACCATCGCAACCTGGGCCCAGCGACCTTCTTTCAGACGGCCTGGACGCGGGGACTGGACTGGCCCGGCCGCCAGAGAGACAGAGCAAAACTAGCACCAGAAAAGCACAAAAAAAAAGCACAATCGGACCGCGTCGAGCACAAGAAAAGCACAACAGACAGAGACAATTTTGCACCAGAACTGCCGCGCGCCAATGTGTTTTGAAATCATGGAGCACAAAAAAAAAAGCACAAACATACAAACACGTTTGGTTTTTGGAGCACAAGAAAAGCACAAAAAAAAGCACAATCGGACCGCGTCGAGCACAAGAAAAGCACAACAGCCGGGTCGTTTCGAGCACAAGAAAAGCACAAAAAAAAGCACAAACATACAAACACGTTTGGTTTTTGGAGCACAAGAAAAGCACAAAAAAAACACAATCGGATCGTTTCGAGCACAAGAAAAGCACAAAAAAAAACACAAACATGCAAGCACGTTTTCGGAGGCGAGCCCCCCAAGCCTGCGTAGATTGCAGAAAGAGTACAGGCAAAGCACAAGAAAAGCACAACAGCCGGATCGTTTCGAGCACAAGAAAAGCACAAGAAAAAAGCACAAACATACAAACACGTTTGGTTTTTGGAGCACAAGAAAAGCACAAAAAAAAGCACAATCGGACCGCGTCGAGCACAAGAAAAGCACAACAGCCGGGTTGTTTCGAGCACAAGAAAAGCACAAAAACAAGCACAAACATACAAACACGTTTGGTTTTTGGAGCACAAGAAAAGCACAAAAAAAAAAACACAATCGGACCGCGTCGAGCACAAGAAAAGCACAACAGCCGGATCGTTTCGAGCACAAGAAAAGCACAAGAAAAAAGCACAAACATACAAACACGTTTGGTTTTGGGAGCACAAGAAAAGCACAAAAAAAAACACAATCGGACCGCGTCGAGAACAAGAAAAGCACAACAGAAAAGAGGTTTCTGTGATCGAAATGTCGCGCCCGGGTACGCCTCTCAGTGCTAAACTTGGTCGAAGAGGCCAGACCCCGGCCCGGCCGTTCAGCTTTCCAGCCCAGCCCCCTCAGCCCCCCCCCAGCACCCCCAGCCCCCCCCGCCCCGCCCCCCCTAGTCGCGCAGAGGCATTGCAGCTCCTGATGTTTGCTCAAGATCGAATCCGAGAAAACAACAGGGGTGTGACTGTGTTTGCAACTCATGGGGTGGCAGTTTACTTGTTGTCTCAGTCTTGCGTTTTCCATTCATGCGAGCATGATCACAAACGAGTCAACATTTCAGCATTTCCCTGGTGCTTCATCTTGTGCTTCTGTTTCTGCCCACTCTTAGTGAGGCGGGGCCGCACACAACCTCTACACCCTAAATCCGAAACTGCCGAAACTAAACCGCAAACCCTAAACTTAGGCCCTACAAATCCTAAGCCCTTAACCTTCGGCCTGAGGCTCATCCGGGTAAGAAATTCTGGCTGATCTGCCGCTGGAAAACGGCTCATAAAAACAAAGAACAACTCTGACCTGACTGTGCGGCCAGGCCTTGGCGAAGTCGGTCGCAGCCGAGCCCGGGGCTCAAGTTTTTTTTGGCCTGAAATGGCTTAAGTTTTTGGGGTTTAGGGTTTCGGGCTTTGGGTGAGCGGTTTACAGCATCGGGATTTAGGGATTAGGGGTTTAGGGTTTAGGCGTTAACTTTAGGGGTTCATTGGGAGCAAATTGCATCCTGTTCTGACTGTAGTCATGGCTCCTTGCTGTACAGAAAGAAGATGGATAACCACGAAGGCGGGAATACATGTTTAGAGCCCTAAGCCAACAGTTTAATCCCCAACCTCTTCTGATTTCTGTTGCAGGGGATCTTGCTTGGGGCTGAGGGTTTTGTGTTTGCAGTAGGACTTTGTGCAGCTGCTGATGGGTAGGCTTGGCCGGATTTTTGGCAAATGGCCACAAGCACAATGGCTTACTGGAGTCTTTCAACAAGGGGCCAAAAGATGGTGAAGAGGCCGTCTTCTCGGTACTGTAGTCTGAATAGGCACGAAGGCCCTAAACCCTGCAACGGTTCTACGCCCGAAATACCCGATAAACCCTAAACCCAACATCCCCAAACGGACCCTAAACCCTAAACCCTAAAGCCGAACCCTAAACCCTAACCTCTAAACCCTCTAGATTGCTGGGGCACAGGGGGGCCTCAAGGCTGGGTGTGCCGACCTTGAGCGCGGGACGAAGTTGCAGTAGGTTCGGGTTTCAGAGGTTTCTGGGGTTTTGGTCGTTTCGGGGTTTTAGGATTTTCGAGTTCTAGGGTTTTTAGGCTGAAGGTTTTTGGGGTGCTGGGGTTTTCGAGTTGTAGGGCTGTAGGGCTTGGAGCTGTAGAGGGTTTTTAAGGGTCTTTGGGGTTGTAAGGTGCAGAGTTGTAGGTTCTTTTTGGGTTTAGTGTTTAACATTTCTTGTAGACCTGCCCAAGCTTTTTTTAAGCTTGAGTTCCTGAAGCCCAAAACCGTTAACCCTAAAATTTTGAATCCTCAACCCCACATAGGACTGGCGCAGCCCCAAACCCTGGTTCCAAACCCTTTGGCTCAGGGGCGTGGAGTTTGAGTTTCAGGGTTTTGGATGTGCGGATGATGACGGCAGTTGCCCAGAACATAACATGCGTTGCACGGCAAACATCGAAGGCCCCGTGCAGCGCGCTTGGGCACAGAAGAGTGCCCCCGGAAGGTGTGGGGCTTGAGTGCTTTGGAATCCTGGAAACACGCTGCTTGGTTTGGTTGTCGGGGTGGATTCTCTTCGGGGGGTTCCGGTTAAAAAGGATCTATAGGGTTCCTTTCAAGGGTCTATAAGGGATCTATAGGGGTTTAGGGGTTTAGGGTACCCGGAGCCTTAGCCCTAAACATTGACATCATGCCGGGGCCCTTTAAACTAGAAGTCCTCATGTATTTGACCTCAAGCTTTAGCAGTAGCAACTACACTAAGCAGTTATTGCCATTATCATCACAATTTTCACACTTACTGTTGCTACTATTATCGCGTTAGTTCTACATGTATATATATATATATATATATATATATATGGGCGCGTGGTCATTCCCCCCCCCTACATTTCTGCATCTTCGGTATTGCGCCCAATACAATACAGTGCGAATGATGTACTGACCCTAGTCATGCCCCATACCCAGATGCTCGTAGACAACCAAGCCAATGTAGGCACCTCAGATGTTTCAGCAGCAACACACGAGCATCGTTTTTCTAACTTGTTTACTTGTGCTAGCCAGCAGAGCAGTGCAATGCAGCACAGCGCTTTCCCCATCTGATTTCAAGCTTCGACGTGCCCCTACTAGATTTCAAGCAGGTCGTTCCTGCAAATGACCCCGTTGGCTCGTGCCAGTCCTTTCAGGATTGAAGACATGTCAGTTCCGACATTGACATAAAAGACATACTCATCCATTTCGAGTATGTCCAAAGAAAGCTTTCCATAGCGGCGCCTTGACCACTTTTTGAGCCTGCCGTTTTCAGACTCTGCATCATTCGTGTGGAACCCCGTAGCAGGATCACGAAAACACTTTTCATGTTTCACAGGAGGTGCGTAATCATAGCCTAGTGCTTCCACAGCCTTTTTGGTAGCAGTCCAACCGTCAAACACCAAGTACGAGCCTTTCGCGACGTGCTTTTCAACCGTGTTTTGGATTTCTTCAAAGCCGCGAGGTTTGTTCTTTATGGCTTTCTTGCGAGAAGGCAGAAGACGATAAGTGATGCGTTTCTTGCCGTTGTCATGGGTGTAGATCTCCTTGTTCTTGCCCACAGCGACAGCAAGCCATAGCCAGGCACCGTTTGTCTTGAGGTTTGCGGCAGTCTTCTTGAGTCGTTTGGCTGGTGGTCGAACGGCAGCAGGCTTCTTCAGGATCGTTTTCATCACACCACATGGCCGCTTCATGTGTGTTGAAGCCGGCTTCTTCAGGAGCTGTGGCCCGGTGCGTGAAGCCTTCTCTGACCCATGAAGTGTTCGAGCTGGCAGCCTTTTCATGGCACCCTTGGAAACCAGTTTTTTCCGTTCCAGGCGCGCCGTTGTCCTAGTCTGCTCTGCACCAGCTTTGTTGATCCCCCTCGAACCAACTGACCAACCATCTTCAGGATGGACTCCGACGATGGCTTCGTCCATGACGACCGTCTCCTTCTTGCCACCGACGACCCTGCAGTCCATTTTGTCCAGAGCAGCACCGATAGCCCTCTGGAAGACGTCACGCCATTTCGCAATCGTCTTTTTGGCGATGTTGCCATAGCCCGCCTGCAACTCCTGGATGATGGTGGACCAGTTCATAGAAAGACGCAACATGTTGATGAGATGGAGAAACGGGAACCAGCTATTCACCGGTATTTCAGTGAGGAAGCCGTACTGGTTGAGTTGTAGTTCCATGTGCTTGTGCCCAACAGCACTGCATGTCCATCCAAAAGTCGTCCATCCCCTCGAGGTTCGCTGCTCGAAGCGAGCGGGCTTACCACATTTAGTGCATCTCTTTATCTGTAGAGCAGCCCCGTACTTCAAGAAGATGCCGATTGCCCTCAGTGACAAGGAAACATTCGCACCGTTTTCGTCGAGAACACGACGGTGAATGAGATATTTTTGGAAGGCTACATCGCTCTCAAAGCAGTGCTCGTCGACGTCCTTGAGCCATTCTTTGAAGGAGCAGGAGGGTAGCTCCAGAGCATGAAGGCCATCTTCCCGCGCACGTCTAATCATTGTTGCACAGGCCACGTTAAGCTAGTACATGTACCAGGTCCAAGAACGCTCAACTGTGTTCGCTGCTGTTTGTCACATGGCATTGAAACAATGACAGTCTGCTTGCTGACGTGCAGTGGACCTGCTAGTGATAAGCCCCGCAACTTGCCAAGAAACAAGTCAATGCTTGGTGGACAGCAATTGCAAAGCAATCAATCGACATCACTTGCAGCAAATCGTAGTGGCTCCATTTTCCAAGTTGGCGGCAATGGGCATGTCATGTGACACTCTATCCAGGTGGCAGTGGGCACTCAAACTACAAAACTTGAGTGCCTTGTCAGAGGCCAACATTCTCTGTGCAGTGTACCTTTCTACAGAGTCAACCAATGTTGTAGCTACATTCAAGCACCTAGGTTCTTCCGACGCGACTTCATTCGCAGAAGGAGGCACCTCAGTTTTCAGGATCCTCGCCCACGTCGGGAAAGGCATCATCTTGCCGAGGACGCTTACAGCGAGGAGGTGTTGGCGTGGCCAAGTCAATGACGTCATCTGCGTGGGACGCCACCATGAGCGGGAAGAAAGCTTTCTCTTCAACCTCCGTCTTTAAGGCAATGTTAGCGGCGGTTGGCAAAGAAGAGGAAGCCTCGCGCCTGTCCTCCATAGAAGCGGCGGTGTCCACGGTCGGCAAGAAGTCTGGACAAATGCGGCCTGAGAATGGAACTTGTGGCTTTGAGTCACGAGAAGTGGGACCGTTACCGCCTGACCCGGGAATCAAAATCGTGGCAGTGCGACGTGGTCGCTCTTTCTTCTCGATGATCATGCTCAGGACATCGTGAGTCCATTGTCTCTTTTGGACCCAATTCTTTGGTGGTGTCTCAATGCCATCGCGCATGGCCTGTAAGATATCCTTGCCCTCTTGGTTCAAGAAGTCAGTCTGGCCGTGCAAGTAGGGGATGCGCTTGACAGGAACTGTCTTGGTACCGACAGGTCGAAGATAGAGAGCCTTCTTCATGTTAACGATCCAATGCGCCCGTTTGAGGCAGGCCATACGGTCCTGCTTTGAACACTTGTCGGGGAAGGCTGGTGAGATGATGTCCATAAAGGTCTCGAACTTAATGAAGCCTTCGGACTCCGGTAAGTCTGGCTCGGCATCATCATCCACTCGATTGTCGCAAATCACTCGGAGCTGATTGCGTACCTCAGCAAATCACCGTGTGTACAAGTTTAGCGCAAGGCGATGTACCCCTGCAGTGTTGAAGCCCGACAAGTATGCCGAACAAAGCCAAGACTCGAATTTTGAAGTGGTCCACCGTTCCACGGTGTGTGTCTCGGTAAGAGTGCTGTCAAGGAAAGCTTTCAGCTTCGTCACGGACATGACGCTGGTATCCGGGTCATCAAGGATATCCGGACGTTCCTTGATGCCGGATTCACCTCGCAGCTGGTCCAGGGAAGCAACGAGGCGAAAGGACGGCCGCAGTTCCTGCTCTCTCCCACCAGCCAGTATATGGTATTCTGAGATCGCCATTGCGATGGCTTGAGCCACCGGTGTTTTCCCTGTTTCGGCCATCCCCATCATCACCAAAGTGTGGCTTTTGAGGTCACCCAGGATCTCAACCAACACGTCATCGAAAAACCAACCTGCGACGTCGTGGAGTGTCAAGAAGAAGTTGGTGACTGGACGAGCGTAAACATTCGAAGCTGAATGGTTTCGCAAGCATTCCTTGACTAACCCCGCACTCCAACCATGCAGCGGTCCTCCAAGTCTGCGGGTCTCAATTTCAGCCCATTCAGTCTGGCCATTTCCCATGTTGGATTTCGGGCCGAACTCTCGAATGTAGTCAAATCCGGCTTGGAGATCACCACAATCCTCTTTGACCGGCCTGGGCTGCTTCTGCTCTAGCCGACGAAACGACACCATCCAGTGAGACATTCTTTGCAGAAGAATTTGGAATGCACAAGGTCCACTTCGAAAGTTGGGTGAGTAGTCGATGAGGTACCCAGTGCCATGTACAATTTCCTCTATGTGGCGTAACGACGTAGTCTTGTCTGCAAAGATGAAGTGCTTGATCACAGTGCCGAAGGAGCCGGTGGAATTCTTGATAACCCCAATCTGGAGTACGAACTCAGTGTCTGCAACACGGTCGGTGCGAAACGGAGGTGGGAGTTCAGTATATCGTTCATTGGCAAGACACGTCGCAATCGACTCCCATGGCACATCTTGCAGAGCGACATTCTCGATGATATCCACCAACGTCTTGGCCTTGTACTGATGGAAGTGCTCCTTGAGTGGCAAGTCGTTCACGGATCCGGAAACAGTCTCATTGGTGATCACGATGGGGGTCTTCAGTTCAGTCATTACATGGTTCTTGACTTCGTCCAATGCTTTCTTGTAGGCAGTCGTCATTTGGTTTTCCTTGTTGTGGCATCAAGATGCAAAAAAGGGTAAGAGAGAACACAACATGTAACACAACAAGACGCAAACTCATATCATGAGTCCCAGCAGCAAACTCCGGAGTTGATGATGTTTGGCTCTGGCTAACTACTGCGCTGTGTCGCCCTCAGAGAATCAAGCTGCGTTGAATGCGTTTTGCAATGTTTCTGACAAGACGCATGTGTGATATCACGAGTGTACAGCCACACGTGGTTCGAAACCGAGGCCCTGTTTCGAAACACCGCCGTGTGCATAGAGAGCAACCGATACGAAACAAACTGCACATGACGAACTTGCAACATCTTGCAATGCAGAGCTCTCACATTTGCCTGAACGCGGGTTCGTGTGCACAACGGCCTATACGGCTGCATCAAAGTGCCCCTTCGCTTTGCGAAGGTCAGCCAAAAGCGTGTCCATGATCCTACGCCGCTTGGTATTAAGCTCGGAACTTTCGTAGATGTGCAACAGCTGAGCGTAGACATCGTGCCAATCATCAGTCCACTGGTAGTATTCGGGCATGGCGGGTTCCTGTTGCACATCATCGGCCTCCTCCTGCTCATCCTCGCTCTCCTCTTGCTCATCTTCGGCCTCCTCCCCGGACGAGGTAGAAGATGACGAGGACGATGATGCTTCAGCCTTCTTGGTATTCTTGGGGGACGACTCTTTTTTTGAAACCGGAATGTTGCAATTCTCGATCGCCAAGGGTGCCGGTGCTGAAGACGACGAAGCGGTGAGGGCTAGGCGTTTGGGTTTCAAAAGTGCCGCCGCCAAGGCGGCTTCGGCATGGACGTTCCACTCACCGTACATGCCTTTCTTGGTAAACTGCTGCTTCTCTTGGGCGTGGCAAATGTGGACGAGCAAAGTTCGAGCTGAGAGTGGTGAACGACTTGGGTGCACGGGCATGAGGCCGTCAGCGATCTTTTGCATCATGGCCGCGCGAACGTCAAACTGAGCATGGTCCGATCCCGAGGCCGAAGCGGTTGAGTCAGGGGCATCAGGTTGAAGAACCAAAGAAACCTTGCCGTTCTGCAAGGTAGCAGTGCCCTTCACCGAAAACGACATGGCTCTTGCAGCCACGGTTGGGAGGGATGGGGGGCACGCTGATACTACGAAGTGCTGGGATTCTAAAGCCAACATGTTTCGATAAGCACTGTTGTTGAGTCGCCAATCCGGCAGCACCACACAGAACTCGAAACATGTCAGTTGATATGTATTCGTGCGAATATGCTGGTGGATATCGTGTCTTTGTCGTCCCGTCGTCATGCGAATATGAGGGTGACTACTGTCCTTCAGTCGTCGTGTTGTCGTGCGAATACGATGGAGCATGTTGTGTTTCAGGACCAAGGTTACGCTGAGTAGTGAATAGTGACTGGAATAATTGATTTCGGTCGTCGCGTAGTCGTGCAAATACGGTGATGCATCAACTACTGTGTTTCAAAGCCGATAGTACGTCAAGTTAAGAAACAACATAAGGACATCGCAGGAAAGTGACCAGATGCATCCAAGGCACAACCAACCTAAACCTAGACACTACAACAAACAACTACAAACAAACCACTTCCAAAACCCCACTGCCCGGAAGATCTGGTACCGGACGAGTGACCTGCAGCGGTTTTCAAACGGGCGTCTGTTTCGAAACCAGCGGCATGTTTCGAAACACACGCCCGCCGTTAAGATACAACCCGTTAACCCATTAACCCAATCATCTAGCCGAATGCCCCTAGGACTTAGGAGGCCCCAACCCATTAATCCATGAACCCAACCATACCAAACCCACAAACAAGCGCAAACCCCGCGTGCAGGAGTGAAGACACAACCGAGCTGACACCTCAATCATTCTGGCCAAATGAAATTGCCATATTACCCATTAACCCATTAACCCATTAGCCCATTAACCCATTAACCCATTAACCCATTAACCCAATCATTCTGGCCAAATGGAATTGCCATTAACCCATTCACCCATTAACCCATTAACCCATTAACCCAATCAATCTGGCCAAATGAAATTGCCCCAACCCATTAACCCATTAACCCATTAACCCATTAACCCAATCAATCTGGCCAAATGAAATTGCCCCAACCCATTAACCCATTAACCCATTAACCCATTAACCCATTAACCCAATCAATCTGGCCAAATGAACTTGGGAGTAGAGTCCAGTCCCACTTGGGCAAATCATTGGGTTAATGGGTTAATGGGTTGGGCAAATGAATGGGTTAATGGCTTAATGGGTTAATGTGTTAAGGCAAATCCATTTGGCCAGAATGATTGGGTTAATGGGTTAATGGGTTGGGCAAATGATTGGGTTAATGGGTTAATGGGTTAAGGCAAATCCATTTGGCCAGAATGATTGGGTTAATGGGTTAATGGGTTGGGCAAATGATTGGGTTAATGGGTTAATGGGTTAATGGGTTAATGGGTTAAGGCAAATCCATTTGGCCAGAATGATTGGGTTAATGGGTTAATGGGTTGGGCAAATGATTGGGTTAATGGGTTAATGGGTTAATGGGTTAATGGGTTAATGGGTTAAGGCAATTTCATTTGGCCAGAATGATTGGGTTAATGGGTTAATGGGTTGGCCAGAATGATTGGGTTAATGGGTTAATGGGTTGGGCAAATGATTGGGTTAATGGGTTAATGGGTTAATGGGTTAATGGGTTAATGGGTTAAGGCAAATCCATTTGGCCAGAATGATTGGGTTAATGGGTTAATGGGTTGGGCAAATGATTGGGTTAATGGGTTATTGGGTTAATGGGTTAATGGGTTAATGGGTTAAGGCAATTTCATTTGGCCAGAATGATTGGGTTAATGGGTTAATGGGTTGGGCAAATGATTGGGTTAATGGGTTAATGGGTTGGGCAAATGATTGGGTTAATGGGTTAATGGGTCGGGTTGGGGCCTCCTACGGATATGTTTCGAAACAGACACTAGTTTCGAAACCAGGTAACAGAATCCATGAATATAAAAGCAAAGTTGCAGAAATGCAGGGGGGGGGAATGACTACCTACCCATATATATATATATATATATATATATATATATTAATATATATATATATATATTAATATATATATATATATATATATATTTATGTATATATATATATATGGCTAGCTTACAAGCTCTCCAGATTTGGTTTTGGTGGAATATGTTCATGTTAGCTCCTTAAAGTTCCGTGAAACCCAAGGCAGCACATGAGCAGAACCAGAACTCTGTATTGTGATTCGTGTAGACAGCCAAAGCTTAGCGATAGTTACGTCTCTTTACAGTACAATAGTCTTGTGCCGGCAAGAACGGCTATACATGATCATGATGACCAGCAAACAGCATTATCGCCCTCATGCATACGCAGGCGCGGAAGCCGCAACTCGTGGAAACTGCCGGCGCACATCCGATCCACAAGGCTGGCGCGTGGTAGTTCGCTCAGCTAGACTCGGTCGATCCCAGTAGCCCCGGCGATGTGGTAAGGCCGGTTGCTCAGCGTCCCCACTTGTGGCTTTATGTTGGCATTCGTTACGGGAAGCCTTTTTGCGGACCCTTCTTCCGGACATCGATGTTGGTGAGCCTTCGCAGGACCTGCCCGCTGTTGCGCATGCTCTTTGTGTACACCGTCACGCTCGTGCGCAACATACCATTACCATTACTAATATTGTCATTGTCAGTATTATCATCTCATTAAATAGTCGTTATAGTAGTTCTATTCTGACTATTCGTTTAGGTGCTGCGGGCCGACTCTGGCCATGAAACGATCGAGTTGTCCTTTACGGCTTGTCAATCTTGACTGCGCGTCCCCCCATGGCCCAAGGCATGTCACAAGCTGCGACTGTATCAAAGTGGGTTGTAGTATAGTACATCATAGTCTACTGTAGTAGAATGCGTTGAAGTACAGCAGTGCAGAGTAAAAGCATCACACCTGTCAAGGGAAATCAGTTCTCGTATGGCTGCACCCATCGTGACAAAGCAAGTTTACGCAGTGCTTGCCTCGTTCTGTCGTGACGACAATGCATCTGCAGACAGCATGTGTTTTTGCGATGCACGCGTGCATGTTGATCAAGTCCAAGAAGACTTTCGCCAGTACGTGCGCCGCCAGATCCTTCTTGCAATCCTCTAGCATGTTGTGAGTTCTGCTCCATAGAGGCCACTCGCGCTCTGCAGGCTTCGACATGCAGTGGCTCAGAGACTCAAACAGTTTTTGCCTAGTGCTTGTTGGGTGGCTGTGTGCGGCTCTGAAGCCTGGTGAGTTCAAACTCAGCAAGTGAATGCCATCGCGGCGCCAAAGTCCAAGGGGCAGCACATCTGAGTGAGTTGTCTTCGCCTTGCAAGGCGAATGCTAGCCCTAGCAACGTGCAGGGAGCTCCAGCAGCTCGTCAGCTTAGTCGATTCTGTTTCGTCCTGTGAGCCATGGAGGCCAAACAGTTTGAGACCTTGAAGGACGGAAGAATCACGGGAGCTGACTTGGAAAACTTGTCACGTAGACACTCTCAACTCGGCTACACTGCAAGGTAGAGTACGGAAGCACTAGACCGAAGTCTAGAGCAAAGCTACTGACGTTGCGCTCGGGCTGTCAAGGGCTTCATCAGCTGATGAAGAATTCCACAATCAGTCTGTGCAGGGCTCTTCACGCTCTAATTTTGGTTTGCCTGGCTGTTCATCGTCACCGGCATTTCGTAAACTCATCCGGTACCTCTGCATCTCATCCATGGCCGCAAAAGTGTATCGGATGCACAGAACAGTGTTATCCGGGTTCACCTGTCATGGGGTTTAAAATGGCTTAAGGCGGCTTTTGATGTAGGAAGCCCAGGAACTCGACTGCCCACAGGTCACAAACTACCCCATGAAGGTGCATGGCGACCTGTAGCCTAAAGCTGTCGTGTTTGGCTATTTGAACGCATGAGGTGCTCGGTTATCAGGCAAAGAGGTGCATCTCTGCGGTAATCCGTGCGCGTAAAGAACCCCCTAGACCGCTAAGCCCTGAACACCGAAGCGTTGACACGAAAGGCCTGCCGCAGCAGTAGCTGTAATCTAGTTGCTGCTATCGTAGTGGCTCACGAAACCCTAAACCCTAAACCTTGAACCCTAAACCCTAAACCTTAAACCCTAAACCCTAAACCCTGAACCCCGAACCCCCAGCCTTAAAATCCTAGCAGGAAACCCTATGGGACTTCATGAAGACGGAGCTGCTTTGCTGGCATCCGTGTTACCTACACTATTTTTGGGGGGTTCCTTCTTGTAATTATAGTATAATGGACCCCAAAACCAGATTCTAGTTCTTAAGTAATTACGGGTTACCTATGCTATTTTGGGGGGTTTCCTTCTTGTAAGTATGGTGCAATGGGCCCTAAAACCCGATTCTTCATTCGCTCCAGACTCATGTCCGCATCGCCCTAAAACCCGGTTCTAATTATTGAGGCCTCTATATTAGAGGTGTACAACGGGCCCCCAAACTCGATTTTGATTATTCAGGCCCCTGGAGTAACCTTCAGAGAAGCTGAGAGCCGTGAGCTTTGAGAAGAAGAGGGGCCCAACGATACTACTGTGGGGGTTCCTGATTATCAGAGTGAAATACACCCCAAACCCTCATTCTAATTATTAAGGCCCCTATATTAGGGTTTAAGGGTTCAGAGTGTGGGGGTTTAGGGTCGAGGGCTTTGGGTTTAGGGAAAGGCATTGTCGTCGCAAGAATGTTCGCAGGGAAGTTCGAATGCGAGAGCATCATCACGCCCGTGACAGTATTCCTGGCAAGATTCTGATGTCGGAAGTCACCACGGTCATTGGAGTGATTTCAATCGCTCTATCCACTATACCGATCAAGCTAGATGTTGCGACCATAGCAGCATTTACATCAACTTGCCAAAAACTGCTTCGATTGTTAAGCGAATGGAACCATGTCTGCACAGTATTTCTTGTAGCTACTTTGCATGCGTATGGAGGCAATTTAGCGTGTCAGCCAAGAATCGCTGAAACAGGAACAGTACAAGCCGCAAAAAATGATAGCGACCATTTCGGAGGAGAACAGTTTGGGTACTAGTAGCCGGTAGCTACACTCGAACGTCACACCATGACCGCCTGACTCCATTGTTCCAGTGCTACTAGAACCTAGAACTTATCAGCTGGGTGAGCACACTTTATTTACATTTTTTGGGATCATATGATACGCTACAGAACATAGAACTGAAAGTGGCGACTCTTTTGGGCTCATCTCAGCCAAGGGAAAGCGCGAGCAAAGGTAAAAGTGACGGCAGCCTGAGACCCCAAGCTGTTCCCAGCTGGCCCAAGCCTCGTCAGGTTCGGGTATAGGGTTTAGGCTTTAGGGTTTAGGGTTTCAGGTTCAGGAACCTACCGCCCTGAAACCCTGCAGGAAGTTTGGTGGGTAACCTAGGTCGTTTGAACGGTCCGAACGACAGAGTAATCGTATACCTGAGAGCTCAGTGTTTAAGTAGGCTATAGTCTACCGTGACCCCAAAACCCTGTTCTTGTCAGTTAGACCCCTGTAAACATCATACGCCTGGCCGGGGTCTGCTCAGGATTTATCCCAACGAACTGCTTCACATCCAGCAGGCAGGGCTTGTAGCAAGTGCAGGTAGCTGTGTCAAGTGTCAAGTATTACTTTCGAGCTGCGCATATTCGCGCCGTTCCAGAGCCCGAACACTCGGGAGGTTTAGAAAAGATTTAAAGTTGGTGAGTTGCCAGAGCTCCGTCATCCGACACTGATGATTTTCGCTTTTGGCGTTCAGCCTCTATCCTGTCGCTAGTGGTGCCCCAACGGCTTCTTGCATAAACCAAGCCATGGACATGCCGCAGTAATATAGTGTAGGGGTCCTGGTAATCACCTATTTTGGGAGTTCCTTATCATAAATATAGTATAGCGGGCCCCTGAACCTTATTCTAATCATGAAGGCTCCCATGCTACAAGGCCATTCAAAGGCCGCAGGCGTTGATACAGGGTGGAGTGGATGCAGCGCGGTCCGAGTCCCGACAAAATAGATACTAAACATATAATATGAGGGCCTTAATAAATAGCATAGGATTTTGGGGTATAGTTTATTGTGATTACAATAAGAACCCCAAAACCCTGTTCGAATGATGGAGGCCCCTATATTAACCGCATCAGCCCCCGATCTCAAGCCCGCGACCGCAAAGCAGGTGAGGGAGGTTCGGGCGAAGGGCCCGAGCCAGTGGCGGCAGCCGCCCATCATCGTCGAGCTGCGTGAGAAGGCGAAGGTGCCCTGGGCCTGTCGCATCGTTTGAGAATTTAGGGTTTAGGATTCGGATTGAGTCGTTGAGACGAGGAGGAGGAGGAGGAGGAGGAGGAGGAGGAGGAGGAGGAGGAGGAGGAGGAGGAGGAGGAGGAGAGCGCCGATGTGTAACTGGTCTTGTGCCAGGAAGTTGGCGGACAATGCATGCATGCGTCTCTGTGGTTGATTGTACAAATGCATGTACAAACATTCGAATGTGCATGTGTGTATCCCTATAATATGTAATATGTGTGTATATATATATATATATATATATATAAAGATAAAGATCCAGTCATTCCGACATACATGTTGTGAGAGTTGGCGCGTTTGCCGGAACAAGTGCAGATGTCTGTCCTTCGTTTTCACTTGGTCCCATGCCATGAATTGTAATTATAAAGTAGTAGTATGCGCCCATCACAATCGTTACGGCCCCTCAAAAAAACCATAAACAAAGCCCTTGTAGAGCCTTTTGACGGGAGTTTCTCTGGAGGAGCTAATTATTACAGCCAACCAGATTTCCCTGCACGTGTGACCAGTGCAGGCCAGGGGCCTTTGGCGCGGTGCCCAGTGGCCAGGGTTCGGGCTTCTGACAGACGTGGTCTTATCCAACACAGGGTTTTGGCCTTGAGGGTTTAGGGCATAGGGCCAGTAGGATTTGGGGTTTCAGGGTTTAGGGCTAGTCCATGCATTATTCTTACAGTCATTTTCTCGTTGTTTGCCATCACCAGTGTCAGCCCTCATCGTGAGACTTAGTATCGTCGTCATCATCAGCGTCGTCAGCATGGTCATCACCATCATCATCTTCTTCTTCTCTTCCCGACCTTTGTCGCCACCACGACCGCGGCATCATCGGCGCAGTAGTCAGAAAGCATTACTTATGACGAACAATAATTTCGCAACCCCTAAGCTCTAAACTTAACCCGAAAGCTCTAAACTCCTAAACTTGACCCTGAGCCCTGGGCTCCTAAACCTCAAACCCTGAACTTCTCCTAAGCCTCACGACAGCAAAAGCCCAGGAACCTTTTCCTGCCTGTAGACTCGGCCAAACTGGCGGGGCGCCGCGGCGGAGGCCTCACAAACCTGCAGCGACTTGGCATAGTGATAGTAACGATAGTAAGAATTGTCATAGTAGTATTAGCAGTAAGAATAATTTCAGCTGAGATTAAATAACAACGCTAACCGTGATATTCGTCGTAGTAGCAATATAGAAAAGATAGGTCTACTGTCATACTAGCAATAATGGCCCTGCGCAAGTTGATATACTTGTAGACCGGATGCAGCAGCACAGAACCATGGAACACGTTTGACCTGTCCTCGGCTGAGGTATGCTGAGTGCAACGGTCTCAGACGATCCCAGATGTGCAGTGCCGCATCACCAAGCAAGGATATTTCATAGACTTTGTGGCTGAGGCTGTGAGATCATGGGGACCGCCAACCATGCCGAGTTCGCGGCAGAGGCTGCTTCCGTGCCACGCTTTCGTTGGTTGTGTGGTGGGGCCGTTGAACCACCAAATATACATTCATATTTGTGTGTGTGTATGTACATGTATAACCTACCTACCTACCTTATAGTTATATGTATACACACACACACACACGTATCTGTACATGTATACATTCAAAGAGATAGTTTGTTTCATGCACGGATATGTTTATCATTCATACCGTCTACGCGGCTATTCTTCCTGTTCCTCGGTCAGGCTTGCAACTGTGCGAGCCCAGACACTGGGAACATGGAAGCACCTTGGCGAGCAAACTGACAGTCGATATGCCACCCCAAAATCCAACGGAACCCAATACCCCCGTTACTACGGAATATTATTTACAAAACCAGGACCCGAGGTAAGGTCAGTGCATATTCGGCGGCTGTTGGGCTCTTTGGGTGCCAGTCCCTTCGGTAGTGCCATTTAGCGGCACAAGGCTTTGGTTTTGCCTGTGATCCGTCCTTTGCCTGTGATGTAGAATTATCATTGTTTGATGAGTGTTCTTGCTCTTCTTCGCAGTATCCTGGCTGTTATTCGGATCGTTACTATGTAGAATATTATTACCAGTGATACTTTTGCTACAATCACTATGCCACTATCACTTTCATCCCTGCCGTCGAAAGTTGCGACCCGACTGTAGGGTATTGGGGCTCCCAGGTACTGGCCCGATTTGGCACGGAGGAGCAGAAGAAGCAGTGGCTGGCCGGGTGACTGAGGAGGGCTCAGGTTTACTACTGTTGATGATACAAATCCTGCATTACCCTAAGGACCCTAAACTGTGGGAATTATGGTATATTCCCTATTCGTAATGCAGGATTTATATCATCAAGCGTAGGAGTGCCGGATGTCCAGAGTTTATTTTGGGTGTGTGATTACAGGGCTTATTCGGGTTCGTGACTTATTGGTATTATTAGGTGATAGCAGGGCGTATTCGGGTTTGTAACTCATTCGTATTATTCGGGTTTATTGATGTTCGGGGTTTAGGATGTTTCTTTTAATCCAAGGCCTGGGCCCGGGTAAGCCTTGAGCCCCGTCCGCAACCATAAGCTATTCCAAATGAGACTGCCGGGACCGTCTTCGGGATCCTGGTGTGTGTTGAAGGAGCTCCCGACTAGCGAGAGCAGCGAGAGTGGTAATGGTAATATAGGCGCCTGAATAATTACCAATACTATTTTGAAGGTTCCTTATTGTACTTATAGTATAATGGGCCTCAAAACCCTAGTCTATTTATTGAGGCCCCCAATATTAATCCGAGCGAGACGGGAAGCCCCAGGCTCTGAGCAATGGAGATTTCAACCACCAAGGAGCCGCTGCTGGATGCAAGGATACGCTCTTGTTATGCCCGTCTCTCAGACCCGGCGCTGCAGTGGTGGTAGCCCGGAGCTGGTGGCAGTGCGTTGCGGACAGAGTATAAGATCGCATGTGCGAGGCCATGACTGAGCCGGCAGTTGCGAGCAGCGATGCCACAAACATCAGGACCGGTTTCGTGCTGCCGCTGGGAGCTGCAGCGCCGACCTGGCATAATTACTTGTGTTCAGCGCAGGACCATGATCATGCGAGACGGTGACCACTGGGTGATCAACGGTTCCATGCTGAGGATCCCGCCACCAAGTCTCAAATTGCTGGCTAACTCTGCGCCCAATTCACCTTGTGTAACCCTCACGGCCTTTGACTGAAGTTACAGTACTTGATTGAGATCATGATGAACATGTCGAATATGCTTACTTTGACCTTTAAGACAGGGGTCTTGACAGTGCTCTGGATAAAGCTGCACCAGCTAGGTGCAGTTTTCATGACTAGCCTGTGTTGGCATCATGAAGAAACCTACGGGTCTTGATATGTCAGCGCGCATGTGCATCGTGTCGGCAGCATGTATTCCAGAGTTTCCGCAACTGCTGGGCCGACCCATCAGCAGAAACATCTTGAGTAAGTTGACCGATGCGGTGTGGACTTGAGGCAGAAAGCACTGGATCACCGGAGCAGGGATGCTCGACAGCACTTATGCAGCCTTATCTGTGCTCCAAGCGTGCGCTGCGTATGCCTTTCCAGTGTCGGCCCGGAATAGCCCAGCTGCGTCTCAAAGTCCACCAGTGAGGAACATCGACTGCAAGATCATGATCCTCATGGGCAGGCTCTGATTGCCAAGCTCGTGTGATTTCAGGGTGGTAATGTGCCCTTGGCCCAGTCCGCGTATTGTACGCCCCTCTAGGGTCTAGAACCAGTGTGCTACTGTGCATGGGCCCTTGAATGCAGTCCCGAGCCCTTTCACTAGCCTCGGCAACCAGATTGCACAATGGTCCAAGCCGCATCACCTTGGGCAGTCCATGCCCCACTCGCGCAGCCAAATCAGAGAACAAGAGCCGACACGCTGCTCTGTAGTGGACCCCGCCACGGCCTCATAGAGCGAAGCATGCAAGTAAATGAGAGAGAGACAGACATAGAGACGCAGGGACACACAGGTTAAAAATATCGTTGCATAGCTGGAGGGACTGGAGGGACAAAGTCTGATGGAACCACCTGGAAGGATAACAGTCTGCATTGCCACTTGAGGGGCTTAAGCGTCCGGCTTATCGCAATCTCCTACCAGGACCGGCACGGCAGAGTCGCCAACTTACCGGTCCCAGTCGCAGATCCTGGTTCCCATGGTCTGGAGCCCTGGAAACCTTAGCGTATCGGCGTGGGGGCTTGCTTTTCTCCAGAAACCCAGGCCCCTCTTTTACAAGTACCCAGGATGGCGCTTTCTGCCTCAATGACACAGTAGTCCTATGAGTCCTATGTTGGGTTGCTAATGCGGTGCCGAAGCATGGTAATTGCCATGTCAATACCTTCATGTCCATCTGTTGAAGACCGAAGATGCCTCATTGCTGTAAAATGGTAACACCTAAACTCTAAACTCTAAACCCTAAAGTAAGATGTTCCAAGAAAGTGCAACGGCTTGATGAATTTCCGGATGTACACTTCCACTTGCTTGCAATCCGCTTGGCTCTTGTGCAGCTACAATATTTTGGGGGTGACCGACTTGAGGCATCAGCGTCCCGCTCTAGGGTCCTCATGAGAGTAAGCTTCCATGAACCAGAAAGTCAAGCCTGATTCGGAACACTTTCCACCGCAGCATGTGATGGACGGAGCTGAGACTCTCACAGCGTTCTCTGGGCAAGTCGAGGCGAAGGAATCAGATGTCGGATTTCTACAGACGGCGCTGGATTGTGCACCGAGGAACCCGTTGGTACTCGATGTAGGCTGTGGCTCCGATTGCCAATGTGCACGATGGTTGCAGCACAAAAGTACTCTCTTCTTGTGCTGCTTGGATAAGAGCCCAGAGTCCTTGAAAAAGGCTTCGACAAGGATGGGATCCAAAATGGATTTCGTCAGGGCAGACTTTGGGCAGCTGGCGGCTGTTTTTCGGCCGGGGGTTTTCGACCTGGTGTCGTGCTTCTACTCGTTGCAACATGCAGCGGTGCCGCTGGCAGTGGCAAAGGAGATGGTGACGATTACATCACCGAGCTGCCCCTTAGCCGTGGCTGCCTTGGCAGATGCAGTGCCGGATCCGGATCCGAGTCGTTTGCCCCTCCAACCACTCCCCGGCCCATTGAGACACTGCTACAAGTCTTTCCTTCCGATAGGCGCGCTCAGCGAGAGCTTCCAGACCTGGAATTGCCAGTTGGAGCGATCTTGGGTTCGTACTCACGTCTACCAAGAAGCGAACGAATTTCCGTGCTCTCGCGAGTACACGGTGGTCAGAAAGTCAAAGAGAAAACGCAGCTTTTGTCGAGTCACCAAAGACTCATGACAACTTCGCAAAAGATAATCTCAACAGAACACTTTGCTCACAACATCGGACAGCAACACACTGACACAACCACAACGCACACGCACCGATGTATCAAAACGGGTGCTCAGCAAAGGTGGAACGCTACAGCCTGACGAAGCGATGACTGCTGTTTCACGTCGTCGTGAGCCAAGGAGATCAGCCAGCATCTACCGTGAGAGTCAGGTGGATGGCCAACAGGCCAGCACTCCCCACGAACAGCTGACACGGCTGGGATAGCTCACCGGAATGCAGGAACCGACAGTTGCCCTAAAGTTCCTATTGTGCGGTGTCAATCATTCAGTGTACAGCTGATCTTGAAATTGTTCTGAGCGTGCTTTGAAAGGAACAAGGTCCCTGGCACTCCAGGCAGCAGTGGCGCACTGTCAATCAAGTTTGATATCTCAGCGGCACCAACACTAAACCGTGGTGCATGCTTGTACATGTGCTTAGAGGAGAAGGTCGCTAGCACGGGTTTCGCCTAGGACACGCCCGGCATCACGCTCGTGCGACCAATGGAGACCTTCGGTGACGACGATTGCCCGAAGGGGCACATGGAGATCCTGTTTGAGGCTGTGCTGGGCCCCCTGTTCAGTGACCAGTGATGAGCAGTGAGTCTGAGTATGACTTACCATCGAGACATTCGGGATCTTCCAGCCGAAGATGTTGAAGCAAGGGGCTGATACACCACCATCAAGCAGTCTACGGCTTGCAGTTTCGCTTGTGTGCTTGCGTAGTTTGGTCTTCGGGTGCCGACATCTGTCGCCTCGGCATGTGCAGTTAGGTGTCCGGAGCGGGAGCTCTGCGACTCATCTGAGAATTGCAGGATGTCCGTGTGCCTGCGAGCAACATGATCTGGGGAGAGGCGGATGCGGCATGCTGTCGGAAGCACTTTTTCTCCGTTGCAGTGTTGAGAACTGGCTGCAATCTGAGAGTTTGAGTCGAGGAAGAGCTCTTCCCAACAAGCATATCAACCGCAAGCAGGGACTGTGCACTGGATAATAAGCGACCCCAGCACCCTAAAGTATACGCCTAACATATGCAGCTGGACATTATATGCTTGTAACACCTCGGTTCGATCGGTTTGCGGTTGTTAGCCACTGTATGCGGTGCAGTGAGCTAGGTATTGCTGTTGGCGGCGAGGTGTGTTTCGATACCCCCCACACCCACGCTGGCTAGCGGCTGGTGTTTAGTGGCTGGCGAATTGTACCGTCCTTGAACCCCGATCAGCGATGCGGTGTCATGCGGTGTTGAATTTATGCGATGCAGTTTTTTGCGATGGGGATGCAGTTCGGTGACGATACCATTCGATGTCGATGTTATTGTTTTCAATCCTAGACTCTTGACCATCTGTCTGCGGCACTCCATCTCCAGGGCCGCGGCTTCGAGATTGCTCAGCTGCGGCTGGGACCTGGCCGAAGCTTGGCCTGTTATGCGGCCCAGGTTCAGCGGCTTCGGGGCTAAGGGGGCTACAGGGCATTGCAATGTGCAGTCACATGGTTCACATGACCGAAGAATAAGCTTTGTATAGCATGTAATAGTTGTTGTTGTGCAGGGGTAGCTTACTTGCAAAAGGCAGGAAGTTTTTTGCTCGCTTTTGAGGTTCAGGTTTATGTCCGGGCTATGCCCTGCAAGGTATCCATCACTGCATGCGGATGATTGGGCAGGCAGAGCACAATGTGTGCCGGGTGAATGATCCACTTCACTTGCCGGCGGTGGGGATATATCGATTTTTTGTTGGACTTGCAAGCCTTTTGCAATACTCTGCTGTCGAGCTCGAAATGAAAGCAGCATGATGCTGTGTGTGTGTGAAGATGTCGTCGCAGGCAGAGCGCGCTTTGAGCCACATGTGCCGCCAGGCGCTTACAGAAAGCAAGACGCCGGCATAAAGCAGCCCGAGTTGTTTGCGAAACCGCCAGAATTCGTCTCTTGCGTTGAAGTTTACTTATACAGCGCTGCCGTTGGGGATGACGTTGCCTTTCTGCTGTGTACTTCGGTCGGAGTCAGACCATTGAGACACAGTTCGCCAGACCCGGAAATCCAAACCCAAGGCCTGAACCCCAATCCCATGAGGCCGCGCCACCACACGCACGGCTTTCGGCCAAAAGTTGGCCGAGATGGGCGGCGTCGTGAGGAACCCGGTCGGAGGACTTGTGCGAAACACTGCGGAGCATGCAGGTTCCACAGCGCTCAAGTGTTCTCGTTGCTATAAGGTCCAGCAGATTGCTGAGTGCCGTTCAGAGATCGACCAGGCATGTTTGGGCTTTTTGGGGGTACCATGAGATCTCTAAACCCTGAACCCTATATGGTTTGGGGGGGGCTTGGGCTCTTCCCGCTTGAAAGGTTGACGCTGGCGTTTTGATCTGCCACAGGCTCCACTCGCGTGTTCCAGCCTAAACCCCTAAACATCCCTAAACCCTAAACATCCCTAAACCCTAAACATCCCTAAACCCTTCTACCCTAAACCCGCTTAACCCTAAACCCCTTGCATCTTCCGTAGCGGCAGGCGAGGCTTCTAGTGCGAGAAGCCGCTGACCGGATGGACAGGCCAAGATTTAAGTTTGGGAAGCTTGGTGCTGCACTCGAAACAGGCTTTTGAAGTACTATATTATTATAATATAACCCTACAGTCAACAAGTATATTGTAGTTTGTGATCACTTCGCGTCGCAAAGGCACGGGCCGTGGGGGGATCACAGGCTGGAGTGGGAGGGGGAGGGGGGTGGCCTCCTGGTGTAAGGAGGGTCGCCAGGAAGAGATTGGAGTTTCCGAGAATAGGGGACCCTAATATAGTACCCTAAATAGTAGGATCCTTATTATAAGGACCCCAAAATAAGGTACCCCTAATTTTCGGAAACTCCCAAATCAAGAGGAAAAGGAAGCCAAGGGATCCCTGTGGGGACCTCTGACCGCTGCAAGCGGGGGCCGAGGCGAAACATTCAAGTTGCAAAGGGACTTACTCAAATGATTATTCTTACTGTTATTATTGTTTTTTATCACTATTATTATTGTTACTATTATTACTACTATTATTGTTACTATTAATTTTTACTGTATTCATTGCTATTATTACTATTATTATGTACTCTCATGGTTGGTATTCTTACAGAGATCATGTTGCTTGGTACTCGTGACACCTTCGAGAAGCCGGGCCGGTTGTCTCGGAGGGCTTATGCAAAAATGGGAGTTTCCTCAAAATAGGGGTACTGTAGTTTGGGGTCCTTATAATACGGATCCTACTATTTAGGGTGCTGTATTGGGGTCCCCTGTTTTCGGAAACCCCCCAAATCAGCAGAGAGGAGTTCAGGGCCCCAAGAAAAAAGAGTTAAGGGCCCAGGGTCTGGATTGAAAAGATGCACCATAGAGGACTCCTCTAAAAGTGATGATTATAGGGATCCCAAATTAAGGCGCTCGAAGAAAGGAAGCTGGTTAACCAGCGGTCTAGAGTAAATACCTGGTTCGGGGGTCTTCATAAAGAAGGATTCTATTACAAAGGCTTCTATATTAGGGTCATCTTTCTTCTGCAACTCCCATGTCGATTCCGGAGGCTCGGCAACCGCGACCACTACACTCGCAAGCTGCTCAGCTGGGGCCTCAAATTGCTCACCGGTCTGGCGAAGTCCTAACCTCTAACCCCACTCCAAAGCCCTAAACCGTGGACTTTACCTCCAGTAATAATAGTAATAATAGTAACAATAGTAATAATAATAGTAACAATGCCAGATTGCGTGTCCCCGGACAGTTTCCTGCAGGTGCTGATGTTAATGGCAGAGCAAACGCGGACGTCTCGCGCTGCGGGTTGTTTTCAATGCTTGCCTCCGCTTGTTCCCCCTTGCCTCTGTGATGTTGGGCTTTCGACACTATCATTACTATAATTACTATAATTACTATTATTACTAGAATTACTATTATTACTATTATTACTAGAATTACTATTATTACTATTATTCCTACTATTACTATTATTACTATTGTTATTATTGTTACTATTATTATTGCCTTGCTTTGGCCAGTTTGATCCTCGCTGTTTAGAGGCTTAGGTTTTGTAACTTCTGAGGCTTCGGTCACCACTTTTGCTTTGCCTCAGGCTTGGTCAAAGCTGTCGTGCCAGCCATGCCTGGGCCCAAGCTGATGGAACTTTAACGGATGCAACGGTTTACTAAACAGTAAGATTCTGTTTAGGAACGCTTGTCTTGTCACTCTAGAGGGCTTTCGGTGTTCTGGTATGACTCGAAGGTTCATTGTGACATTATGACTATGACTACAGTAAAGGTTTTGGGGTTTGAGGTCTGTCCGTCGCCAGATTCGGAGTGCAGGTAGGGAGGCCAGATTTTGCGCCAGAGTGGGGTTTGAGCCTTCGCATCGCGGGCTGCCGGGGTTTGCTAGAGTGCCTATATGGGTGATTGTCAAAATTAAGGTCCCTTTTTGGGTACCCTAAATATTAGGTGCCGTACAATAATAAGGACCCAAAATGGGACCCAATTTTTTTTTACAACCACCCACATGGCGCATGTATCCTAAACCATCGAGCCGAGGCCCTAGGCATAGACATGTTCCAGTCTATGTTGCCATGGATTTGGACGTTTAATGAGGGCACAGAATATAGAAGCCCAACAATTACCAACGTTATCCCTTAGGGCTCCTTCTTGAATTGTACTTCGAATTATTAAGGCCCCTACTATAGAACCCCATTATAGATCCCTTATAGAACCCTTCAAGGATCCCTTTACAGGAAGCCTACTCTAATTATTACAGAACATCACGCCCTGGTGGCGTGCTTTTTCGTGTGTTCGTGTTTTCACTTGCACTCTCAGATGGCAAGCTCAGCAAGCTCTTCGTTTCCCGCAACATTGTTTTAGCAGCATACAACATTTTACGACGTGTTCTGAATTGACAACAAATTCCACCAAACCATTTGAAAATGTTCGGGCATAACCGAACACCGGTCCGAGAGAGATAAAGTTATGGGACAAACTTTCAAGGACATAAGGGCATGGCCTTAAGGTGTGGCTCTAGGCCTCTAGGCCTTGGAGTATGGAGGCCTGGAGGCCTGGAGCCCTGGAGCCCTGGGGGGGGGGGGCGCCAAAAAAAAAAAAAAAAAAAATCTTGTGTGCAAAATCTCTGGCCAATTTTTTTTTTTTTTTTTTTTGGCGCCCGGCCCCCAGGGGCCATCCGGAGGGCGCATGTCTGTAAGCAGAGGATGCCTGGAGCCTTCGGCCTTTGGCACTCCCAATCCAGTGTTGCTCAATCATTTCAAGGTTTCCAGTATGCCACCAATCCTGTCCTGTCCAATGAAACATCCCTCTGTCAAGACTTTACGCTTGCTATTGTTGTCCACCACCTAGGAAAGCGGCTCCAACACCTGAAAACTGTGACAGAAGTATGATGGGTAATTCATTCTACACAGTAAAAGTATGATGGGAATAAGATCCTTGTACCGGGACCCAAGTTCAGAAGGAGTTATTGGGCCTCGAACCCAAATGCATATGATGGTCCTAACCGTCTCAAGAGATGCTGGGTGGCGAACCCAAAACCTTAGACTGTAGAAGATATTGGACCCTCACCCAGAAACTTAGACAATGCAGTAAAAATTGCAAGCTACAATATCCTTGTTACATTTGAGGCGGAACATATATAGTTACCTGGAAGCCAACCTTGGTATATAGATGTTTGTACCAACATATATATGTATGTATCTATATACACGTCTGTGTATGCATGTTGGTATATGACATGAAGGCATGCATACACACCTGCATATGGATGTGTAAGCTTACATACACACATGCTCATGCTGTTTCCATGTTCATGCTTTTCCCATCCTTATGCACACATACATATATGCTTAATACATATGTACATACACGGGTATATACGTACATACATAAGTATCACGGAAACATGTGCAATATTTCTGAAATAAGCGAGCATATGTGTATGCAACAATGAGGCATTTAGGCAGCCATGCACTGAAAGGAAAATGGAGGGCCGCAGGCTCCTATCCCAAACCCCGAAAGGGCATGGTGGGTACAGGATGCGGAATTTCAAATCTGTGTGGAAGCACGTCCTCCACACCTGTACATATATACATCTACATATACATGTAATATATGTGTGTGTACATATGTATATATGCATAGATATGCACGTATACAAGTTCATGCACTCTCGAAGCCTATGCAACCATATACAAGTTCGTGAACTTTGGAAGCCCATGCACGCGCACACACATGTATATGCATAAATCTATCTCTATATAAATATGCACATATAGATAGGTTTTTTTGCGATATACATGCAAGTACCTGGGTATGTAACCGCAAGGCCACGCTGCAGTTGCACACACGATGTAAAATGGAACCTTGCAAGCATATTATGGGTGGATGACACATGTAAACATGCATACACACACATATAACTTTGTGTGCATCACGGAAATGGGTAATTACATTGTCTTTGGGATTTACATGGAAGTGGGTGGATGATGGCGAACAACAGGTCTTCAATAGAATAACTGATTAACATGCCCTATTACACCGTAAGCTAATCCTTAAAAGGTGTGGCCCACCCAGCCAGAAATGCAAATCACATTAGGGGATGCTGGGAGACCACCAGAATAAAAACCAGAGTCTGAACACTTTAGTACATATCACGGGCTACACTTATCCACGAAAGATATATAGTGTGTAGCGAACCTGAGTACCGAAAACGATGACGTGTGTCCAGAGCATCCAAACTCTACTGGAAGACATTCGGCTGAAATGCAGTGCCGTGCATGGATGTAATGAGCCAAACCCCCGTAGAAGTTCGATGAGTGGCGGAACCACAACTGGATCCTCAAATCGATGACTGTTTTCCCAAATACAGGCAGACTAGAAGATATTGCACTCTCAATCCAAGGCTTCAATAGTAGATGACGGGGTAGCAAACCTTCAAAGGTGGCAAACCCCTCAGAGCTTTATAAGTGTAGCCACGGCTTCAGATGCGGTTGTATATACACATCGATGACGGTCTGCCTGTCAATATAGTCGCTTTTATGCTGCAGCCCACGCCACAATTTCAATCCCTAGTTGAAGACATGATATATACATTAAGTTACAGGTCAGCATTCGTATGCACATGTAAATATACACATTTCCATAAACACGCATCCATTAAAGCCAGATGCATATGTGGATAGACACCCAGGGGTTGTGATGGATTCTTAATGATTTTGACATGATATGCCAGATCACGCACCTCAACTTCAATGGAGATGCTGGATGGCAAACCTCCTCCCTCTTCCCCAACAAACTCCTACTTCGTGACATGCCCAAGACTCAAAATCAAGGGTACATGCCTGGATGAGGCAACACAACGCTTAATATTCTGGGTGCATAAACTCGTGTGAAAACCTCTAAATTACCGAGAAATACACGCCACCAGGGCGTTGCACTCTCAATTATTAAGGCCCCGACATTATTTGTAGAGGGCCTTACATGGTGCGGCAAGGACGCAGCGCGTGGTGGACCGTGCCATGCAGCTTCATGGTGGCCTCGGAGGCGCGTCTCGGACATGCATGGCTACTATAGGGGCTCTCTTTAAAGGGTTCCTGAAAAGGGTCTATAAGGGATCTAGAGTAGGGTTCAATGGTATAGGGGCCTTAATAATTACCTGTACTACTTTGGGTTCCTTACAGGAGTAATGATTACAGTATAATGGGGCCCCAAAACCCGATTCTTATTGTTAAGGCCCTTATCTTACTGATAACCACAGGAGCCGTACACATTTAGGACTGGTAGGTGTAGCTTTAAGTAAAGCATGTCCGAGAGCACCGCTTGTACTTGATTCCGTCCGCCGCGGCTCACTTGGGCTTTGACTCACCAGCATCGGTTTCTAGGTTTTTGATGTTTAGAGGCGCTAAAGTCTTGGTGGAGAGCTCGAGGTCCAAATTCTGGTTTCTCATAATGCCAGACTGTCTCTGTACTGTCTCTGTGAGGCTCCCAAGACAGCTTCTTGCCTGCGGCCTTCGTGGCGCCATGCTCTCGGAGCCTGCCAGATTGTGCTTGTATACTTCGGCTATCAGCGCCGAGCGGTAGCCTGCGGACTCCTTTGGGCGCAGTGCGGCATGGAAGCACACCTCAACCACACACTGCCTGCAAAGCCGAAGCTATTCGATCCTTTGGCATCTCATTCGTGCGTGCTCATGACGCCTCAAGCTTTACAGAACCTAAGCCCACTTTTGATCTCCAGGGCCCGGAATCTGCGTTGGGCAGATGGCCCCGACGAGGCATCCGGCAGTTGTCGCTTCGTAGAGCAGATTTCCGTAATATTAGGGCTTAGTGAAATAAATTACCAATACTAGTTTGGGGGTTCCTTACAATATCTATAGCATGGTAGTCATCAAAACCGTATTCTAATTGTTAAGGCCCCCCCAAAGGTAGCTTCGGGGTTCCTTCGTCATAGTTGGGTAACATTTTACATTTTTATGGTTACTTAAACCCAATAAGGAATAACAAAATAAATTGTTATTCCGATCCCAATCATGAACTAGGTTCAGGGTTTCGTGTCAAGCGCTCCCAGACCTTGCTGTAGTACTGTGCCAGCTCAATAAGAAAGGTAATCTACGCAGTGGCATGAGCATACATTGAATAATACATGTGCATATATATATATATGCACGTGTACATACGGTACGTACGTATGTAGGTATGCATGTACGAAGGTATGTAGGTATGTATGTACATTTCTTTGTATGTTTATTTACTTGTTTGTATTCATGTATATATATATATGTACACATCAGTGCCTCCATGTAAGTTTACATGTACATATTTGCATATGTAAATATAAGCTAGGTTGCTCGATAGACAGATACCTACGTCTTCCTACAAATATTTCCCACTCGCATGATTAGGCTTGATCTTTTGGTTCGGACAGGCCATACCATCCCATGTCGTCTTTCGTCTCGTGCGATCAGGTGCACTGGCGCACGGCTGGCAGGCTCGAGATTTCATACCAGAGGACCGGGCTCAGGGAAAAGAACCTTGGGGATGACGTGCTGCAGCCCTAAGCCCCCAGAAAAGGCGAACATCCGAAAACGAAGGCAAAGTAATGGAAAGCCTAAACTGTGATTTTGCTGGTCGTTTCGAGCTCTGCTCATCGGGCAGGAAGGATTCGCCACTCTTCCAGATCGAGCTGTACGAACACGACAAGTCAAATCCGTTCAGGGCGAAGCTTTGATCCAGAAGCATCAAAGCCCGTGCCCACTTTTGCATACTTCGCAGACGGTGTTCAGATCAAAAGCTGCAGCGCCAAGGCGCTAAGACCATGCCTGACAGCTTTTGCTCTTTGCATCCTCGCATCGTAGGAGGGCTAGCAGCGTTTGCTTGCCGTAGACGAGACAGTTAATGGCAGTGCGCCATGGAAAATTAACAGCAGAGGCAGGCTTGCAAGATCACTGCAGGACAATGCTTGAAATGTGCAGGAGGGGGCCCCTGCTTTCAGCGGCCACGTGCGAAGATTTGTTGTGACGTATGCCAGGTACCATTTGCCCACATCAGAGAGCATCCAGGTGCAATCCTATCCCCCACCACTCGTTTCCAACAGTGCTCATGAGGTCGCACTAGTAGAGCTCGAGGATCCTGGCAGGTCGTGCACGGAAGTGGCTGCGCACTGAGATCCTGCAGCGAGGGAAGGATCAAGCAGACTGTCGCTGGGCTTCATGTGAGGGCTGGCGAAGATTCATAATACGCCGCAGAAGTCGGGCACACAAAAACAGCACAATAGAATCTTTGTAGACAGAAGCTCTCTTCGAATCTTCAAACATGGCTGCGCCCACAGAGCGCTTCCTCCATCTCTATATCTTCGACAAGGCCCGCAAGGTTGAAAAACTGCCAACACTTCAGAGACTGTTTCCCGGAACATAGCTTTCTCTGAGGCACCCCGGTGCCTCCCTCCCTACGTCGACCTCCAGAACCTCAGTGGAGACAGCCTGGTCCGCGCCGTGCGGCGCGCCGCCCTGCACCCCTGGCGCGACGCGCGCTTCTGGCGGCGTGCCGCGGAGCACGTCTCTGCCATGGACCCCCAAAAGCTGCCGGGTAGGGACCTGGCGCAGGTCTGCCTGGCTTTCAAAAAGGTGGACTTCCCGAGCAGGGTTCTGTCTGAGCATTGCCAGCAGTACGTACAAAAGAACTACCAGAACCTGAACACCTTCGAGCTCGCGGCGGTGCTGAGTTACTTCTGCTTCGCTGGCGCGGGGTTGTCAGGCACACCGACTGAACTGGGCGGCTTCGGCAATTGAGGGCTTCGCAGAACAACTGAGTAAGACTCCTTACTTCAGTCATAATTGGGAAGATCCGTGTCGATGCAGGACGCAGTAGCCTCAGAATTAATGAGGCAGAAATTTTGGAAAGTAAACCGTTAATTTGAAGGAATAAAGCATCCCAGCGTTCTACAACAGCTAACCTAAACCCTGTCACCGTAAACTAACACCGCAACCCTAACCCCTCCCAACCCGAATCTTCCTCATTAAGGGGATGCAAGCCCCATATAACGCGTGCCCAGGGATATCCTGCGAGTCGGTGAGAGCCCGATACGGGCAAACCCTAGACCCGTAAAACCTTATCAATCCTAAACCCTAGAAGCCCGAAGCCCGATAAAAGCCCCATAAGCCCGATAGACACGAAAACCCTAAACTCTAGAAGCCCGAACCCGTATAATTGTAAACCGTAGCCCTAAACCAGAAACTAGGTGGCGACGATTTCATCCGGGCAGCGGCGGACGAGGCGCTTGAGGTTTTTGGGGTTTAGGGCTGTCGGGGCTCAGGGGTTTGGGAGTTTAGGGGTTGAAACTTACCGGGAAACTTGAACCTGCAAGAGTCACGCAGTGCTCCGGCAAAGCAGAAGACGAAGACCCGATTTCTGACCTCCAACATCGCGCCTCCAAATCTGCACCCAACTATGCACCTACTGCCCACTGGCGGAGGGAGCCGGGAGGAGGGATGGCTACGGGCAAGTTCGATTCCGTGGATCCGATCGTCGACATGTGTCGTGATATGAGAACTCCTGTTTGCGTTAGCCTATACCGTATAAGTATAGAAGCTAATGCATATGGTAAGCATTATGAATCGTAGCATCGTATAATTACAATACAACATGAGATAACCCAGTATAGGACCGTACCGATGTGATAAAACATACAAAACAATTAAATTCAACACAACGCAACATAAGATAATGCAATATAGCGTCACATAGTTTGGCTTGGCATGACTTCCCCGCCTTCCAACTTTGTCGTAGGCTGTAAACGACTGGCGCTTGCGGGAGACAGTGCCGTGGTCTGCCTGGCGGCCGCTTGTCTCAGGTAAGTCTATGCATAATATGCATATCTTCATGTTGTATTGTGTATGTATATATATATATATATATATATATATATATATATATGTATACATACCACTCGTATTTATTATGATTTGCTCTTCTTTCATTAGTTAGTTCATTTAGTACACACGTATACATATATATATATATATATATACATATATAATTTTACTTCGAGCATCCCCACCCTAGCGCCTTGTCCTTCCTACACGCAAATCCTAAGACCTAAAGAACCCGAGCCTAAACCTTAAACCCTGGTGTTCCCGAGCACCCGAGGGATTCTCATAGTAGTCTGTGGAGTTGGGCACTCCAGGGATTCTCACAATAGTCTGTGGGGTTGGGCACACCAGGGATTCTCACAGTAGTCTGTGGGGTTGGGCACTCCAGGGATTCTCACGGTGGTCTGTGGGGTTGGGCACTCCAGGGATTCTCACGGTAGTCTGTGGGCTTGGGCACTCCAGGGATTCTCACGGTAGTGTGTGGGGTTGGGCACTCCAGGGATTCTCACGGTAGTCTGTGGGGTTGGGCACTCCAGGGATTCTTACGGTAGGGTTGGGTACTCCAGGAGGTAATCTCAGCGGGCGAGGAGTAATAGCTGACTGTAACATTTAACAACCCCACACCGAGGGTGGGGAAATATAAATATAAATATACATATACATATATATATATATATGTATCTGGTTCACTGGAGTCAGAGAAGACTTTGTGCTCACAGCTTGTCCGCTTACACGCTCTTTCTGGCCCCATAGCATGATAAAGCGAAGCAAGAGACAATACAACCTGTACATGTTGGGCAAACCTTGTGCCCAAATATGTTTCTATCGTTAACCAGGACCCTCCAAACGACCAGTACTGGATGTCATTCTTTTATGATGCACAAACCCCTCGAAGTGACTAGTTTTTTGCCCCACTATGCAAGTAACATTATACTAACATCACCAGCTCTTGAAGTGACATAATAATTGGGCTTGAAGATATATGTCATTGCTGATACAAGTGCTCTTAAACCGATCCAGGGCTTAGATTTTAGGGTTTTCAGGGATCTGATATGAAGGGTTTCGGGTTTTAGGGTTACGACATCGCCCCGTGCCTCGCGGTGGCTCATTAAGATGCATTCATGTGAACGACATGGCACCCTAAACCCCAAACCCTAAACTATATTTAGCCCAGCCCGCTATAGAACTAGCCCCGGGGGCACTAACCCTTGAAGAGATAACTCCACCTGATAGTATAGGAAAGCAGACACGCAGCACAAACTTTTAATCGCGTAGCACACGATGGTCTGCCGGCAGAACCTCGGGCCAGGCAGCGAGGATTTCGCCCAGGGTTATCGGGATTTGGGTTTAGGTTTAAGGGTTAATTCGAGGAAAGACATAATATAAGTTAAGGCGCGGTGCTGAGTGTCTTATGCCATGTGTGGTCTGAGGTTTAGAGGTTTTAAGTTGTTATGCCAGCTCGCGTTTTGAGAAACCCTAATGTTTGTGGCGCATGGGAACTTCCGGGTTTTCGGGTTTAAACTCTTAGGCTTCAGCATCCGGGTTTTCGGGTTTAAAGTCTTAGGTTTCAGGTTGGGCGCCGAATTCTTATTATAGGGATTCAAGATCTTGTTTTGGATTGCAGGAATAATAGGCAGCCCCTGACCTGGGGCGAGACCTTAAGCCCCTACATATATACACACAGGGCCAAATGCTGGCCGAAGTATATATGAATCAAATTGAATAGTTTGAATTCGGGTTTATATAAGGTTTTATAGGTTTTATATATTTGCTCTAGCTATAACTCCGGTGTTATCCAGATGGCAGCAGAGCACATGCCAGGCAGACCCACATCAGTCTGCGGGCCCACGGCCCAAGGGTCTAGGGGATAGGTAGGATAGGTCTAGGTCCTAGGCTTTAGGCGCGAAGGGCTGTATAGGATCCCCCCATTTTCCTTAAGCCCTATTCCCGAATCGAATTTGGGGTACCCTAGTCCAATTTGGGTTGTCTTAAGCCCTAAGCCCTAACCCATATATATATATATATATATATATATATTAATCGCGGCGGACCCCATGCAATCCGACTTACTCAAAATCCGGGCCCCCGCCCGGCTCAAATCTAAACCCTCAATCCCAAACCCGAACCCCCCACCCACTATTGAGGTGTGAAATCCCAAATATTCGGGCTTCAAACCCAACGTAAAGTCCTAAATCCCAAACCCAACCCTAGACCCTAGATCCTTAATAACCGCGCCTGAGGCCCAGCCATTCGGGCTTCAAGCCCAACGTAAAACCCTAAATCCCAAACCCAACCCTAGACCTTAGATCCTTAAGAACCAGGCCTGAGGCCCAGCCCCAAGCCCAAATCCCGAACCCATATACCGGCCTTCAAGGCCAATCTTAAACCGTAAATGCCAAACCCAACCCAAACCCCACATCCTTAAAGCGCGGGCCCGAGGCCCAACCCTAAGCCCCATGTCCCGAATAGCCCTAAAGCCGCGGATATAGTAAATATATTATAAAAGCCCAGATCCAGATTTCGCAGATGCATCTCCATCCGCGGCGGGGCGCTTGCGCGGCTGCGCTGCCTTGTGGCGAAAGCCGCTTCAACCCATAACATAAATTATATAAGATCCCTAATCCCTGCCCTAGATTAGGGTTTAGGCTGTCGGGTTTAGCAGGTTTGAGAATTTCGGATGTCGGGTGTGCATAGGGATATTTTCTAGCTTCTTTTCGGGATCAGGGGCGAGGGTCTTGTTTTGGAGTCATTTGGGTTTATACAGATAGGCCGGTCATTAGTGCAAAATCCCTAAGCCCAAAACCCTAATGCATTGGCTCGACTACATCGGCGTTGGGGGGTTCGGTGCATCGCTGGGAGA